TTCATAAGCCGAAGTCAGTCAATGAGAAGTTGATTAGTGTAGCAAACTGATCCAATTAACAAACCAGCGCGGCTTACACCTTTCCGCCTCTGACGGATGAGTCCAAAAGGCAGATTAGTGATTTTACGGAAATCACTGTCTGTGCTATCAGACTGGAACTGATAAGGTGCCCCTATTAGTGATAGGGAAATCATTAGATAAACACATGCTTAGGTGGAGGAATTAGGACTGGATCATCTTTTTTTCTGTATATATTGTAATTCCGATCGAGCCGAGCCATATTACAGATGAAGCAATCATAACTGTCAACCAGATGCAGGCACCAGTCACATCCTGCAATATGATGCGATTTAGTATTTATTCCTGAATCGAACCCAGGGGACGCAACTCTGCACAGCGAAGAGCACCTCGGTATTTTTGTATAAAAATTTCAAATCAGTTATGTCCTTATATATCATAAACCGATATAAATACATGGTTTGGAATTTTATCTTGCACCTTTACACATCACAAATAAAAATGTTATATCATGGACTTGATCAGTTCGATGCATATACAAATATTTTAGATATCATAAATTGCTACATGTTTATGAAAATATACATGAGAAACAGGATGGAAAGATATGTGAGATACGTTCGATTGCTGAGACCGGATGTCTGCGAAATGTTTACGGAGACATTGTCCAGAAACTTTCTTCAGATTGTTTCCACATTGGATGGTGGCTGTCATGGTTTCTCCTCCACGTTGTGACCGTGAAGGTCCGGGTTAGAATATTGATCTTCCGTAACCCATGCTTGTGGTAAGAGGCGACTAACGGGATCGGGTGGTCAGGCTCGCCGACTTGGTTGACAAATGTCAGCGGTTCCCTATTGCGCAGATCGATGCTCATGCTGTTGACCACTGGATTGTCTGGTCCAGACACGATTATTTATAGACCGTCGCCATATAGCTGGAATATTGCTGAGTGCGGCGTAAAACTAAACTCACTCACTCCTCCACGTTTATTCCCGTCAGTGATTTCTGCTTAAAACGGGAAAAAAGATTGCAGAAAGGCCTGTAGGTAGTTTTAACTTCAGAATGTATACATCATAGTCTTCAAACATATCCTGTAATTGGTCACCGCCACCCAAATAGGTATACCCTTGGTAATTTAAGAGCGATTCGATTGAAATAATAATCCAGTGTGGAGTGATGCAGGCAATGATTGGGTAACCCCTGTGGGACCTCAGCTCATGACCCGCACGAGGTACTAGAAAACCTGTGTATGGGTGTATCACGACAAAATTGTTGCTTATATCATTGTCAGAGAGCAGCTACAGACTGCAACAAAAGAATACTTTTATGCCCCCTAACCGTCATATGACGTCGAATTTACATAAACATGCTTAACTTAACTACCAACACAACATCACGCTTCAAAAGTCAGCCAAAGTGCGACTCATGCAGGTGGTCGACAGAGTTCCAGCACTCAGCGGGAAGACGAGTTTCTGCTGACTGCATCATGACGTCATCACTTAGTGACTGCTACAGGCATGCAAGGTTTGATCGGGCTGAAGATCGCGTCAACTGGAAAGACGTGGACTGGACTCAAATACGTTTCACTGAATAATCCAGATACTAAAATATCTCTATTCTAGACTAGAACATAACCACTATGGACGGGGCTCAATATAACTCTTGGGTGGGATCAGTAAAGCTTGCAGCATGGCACTATAGGTTGTGCTACTGGGATGGCAATCAGGACCTGTTCGGAAGACCGTATGTTGGTGCAATCAGACCGGACTTCCCAGCCTCAGACCGCACTACTTCATCGTTGATGCCTACTTGTGACGAGACCATTGTCAGCATGTGGTGGTGCGCTCGATCACCAGAACTCAGCACCGTCACTTCGGGTTGTAATCAAATGGGCCGAAGGACAAAAAGGGCCGAAACAAAGTCAAATGGGCTGGGCCAAAAGTCAAATGGACCGAAATCAAAAGTAAAAAGGACGAAAAAAGGGCCAAAAATAAAAATTACATAATAAAATATTGTAAATAGTGTTTAGTTTGCTGTTGTTATTTTAAATGGAATATGAACATGTGACTCAAATGTTTTCATTGTTAAGTGTCTTGACTCGGGGTCATGACTAATCTGTGTCGTGTGCAGTGTTCCATGACTGTAAGAAGGAACCAGCACGCCTTAGAGTGTGATCAATGTCAGTCATGGACACACAGGGTTTGTGGCACAGGGATGACTTTGACTTATGTAAGGCAACTGTTGCCGAGACCAAGTCCACAGAAGACAGAGTGCCAGGCAAACATACCCACAGCCGAGTCAGGCAAACTTGTCTCAGTGGAAGGACGAGGTCAGGTGAGCAGTACTGCCTACTGATTGATTCCTAATTAGTAGTTATTCGGACCATAACTGTCAAAGAACTATTAATTGAACTTCCCCAATTGTTAATTGGAGATGTTAACAAATCGATTGGATTCTTAATCAATAAACCTTGTTATAGGTGAAGAAGGCTGCAAGTTCAAGTCTGCCATGTCCACAGCTGAGGATGTTATTGATATTGTTATGATATTATGTTTTAATGCTATATATGTCAATAAAAAATGAAAAACATTTGTAAACATTTGACTTCGCACTTCTCGGCACTTTTGTCCTTCGGCCCATTTGACTAGATCCCGTCACTTCGAACGAGAGGCAAGATTGCCAGCGACTGTGCGTACATCACATGCGCTACTGAGAGTAGTACATTCACAACACATTTCTGGTGCCATATCTAGAATTGTTACCACAGTCGAGTTTGTGACACTAGCAATTCATTGTTTGAACAACTAACTCAATTTACTGACAGCACGATTTGAATTGGGATCCTCCCAGAGGATTTAGAAACAATTTTTTTTGACATCTGAAATAATTTTGTTAACGTATTTGAGCATAGTATTTTCCCAAATTCGAAACAAATGTCAAGAGATATTTTCATCCAGTTATGTTATTTCTTAGCTATTTTTATTGCCCCCTTTATGTTTGGGTGCACAACAAACAGTGTTGTATTGGTATATCTCCTCCAGCTGTTCACATCTGAGTAAATGAATAAGTGTAATGAATCACACTTTCAGCAAACTATCCAATATCCGGCTGTGAAATACAAAGCAGAGCACACTAACTGGAGGATGATAACTAAGTCCATGTGTTACAGGACTCTCAGCCAGATCAAAGATTGATCTTGTCATACTACAGCAGATCCGTAATATGGATCTTAATATTGGGATAAAAAGAACCCAAACTAGACAAAAATTTACCACCTTACATTCACTTCTTGTAGTTGAGACTGCCTATCTTGGTCATTCAACATCAACTTATATGTAATGCATATTATCTGCTTATAATCAAGCTTTCGGGATAATCAACACACATGTATCACACATAAAACTGGATAATCGAGGATGTAAGAACAAAAAGAACAAAACAAATATGAAAACAATGTTTACTTCAAGTGGAAATGCAAACAGAACATTTCTTACATGTTTCACTCACCACAATTAACATCACAGGTGGCTGTAAAAACTAAGCATTTACATCTCGGCTAACTGATGCTTCTCACTGGAGGATCTCACAAACACAACTCGACATTAATAAATATGTACCACTGAAGTGACTGTTAAATAATACACACAAGCATGGATTGTCAAAAATCAAATTTTCAAAGCATGTTCATATTAAAATTTATTACTTTTAATGACTGGGGCTATAAAAATATATTTGTTCTGTAATAACATCTCTTACATTAAGATTGTTACATGATACATGGAAATTGGACATGGCAAAGAAGCTGGATTTCTTCAAATGGCAAGTCAAAACTCAAGTCAATTCAACCCTTTAAAATACTGTAAGAAAAGCCTGTATCAGCACAAGGTGATAACGTGTCCCACAGGAACTGTACCATATCACTAGGCCATGTACTGACATTAACATTTAAACACAGTGTACAACAGAACTGAATGGAATCATTTATACCTGCAGAGTTTGGTAAACTGAAATGTTTGGGGGATGGCACAAAGAATAAGTTGAATTACAGACAATGGGGAGAAATAGTAACAACTGTTGATACATAGATGTGTTATCAATAATATCATACATAAAGGTACTGTGATGAAGCTAATTTTAAATTAAAAAAATGAAATAGACAAGTTAATGTCAATTGCTAAAAATGGAAAGCACCTGTTTTTGTTAAATATGAAATGTCCACAAAGAAATCAAGTGTGTCACCACTCACTCACCAGTGACATGAAACATGGCATATTCTTTAGTAGCTTTTTGCTCAGTTACCTCTCTGGTATCTAGTGATTATTTATTAATGATTATGAATCTCCTGACCTGAACTGATTGCCAGCCCTAGAAATGTTTATTAATCAGATCTCAGACCCTTGCCATAACTTCTGATGGTCAGACTACAGCAGCAAGCGATGGGGAAGACTCATCTCTACATAATGGAGACAAGAGCATGACTGGATTTCAGTCCTCAACTTTCCTGGTTCAGAGAACCTCCCCATCTTATCTGGTGTTAAACAGTCCTCACAGACAGAGCCAAGGGCTGGCATACAATAAGCTGTATGAAGCAGTAATCTCCACACAAGACACAAGGACTGATGTAGCAAGCACTACACTGTTGACAGCTGTAAGACAAAGAAGCTGCAGTCAGCATGTTCAGACTGTATCACAGTTACATGTTAATACTTGGGGCCAGACAAGCCAGTGATTGATATTATGAACACTATCCCACACCCCTCCGGGAATGACACACAAGAAGCCATGTCACTGCCAAGTCTGACCACAGGTCCAGTCTCGACTCATCTGAACATATACACCACAATCAGTTGGAACTATAATTCCCACAAGGGCATCAAGAAGGTGACAAACATAATTATCTACAATCAAATCATGTCATATTTGGTGCTGCTGTAATAATCAGGGATGGCAACAGGAAAATCTATTTTCAACTGAAAACATCATATTGTGTCATCGAATTGATCGATTTGAAATAAAATTGGCAGAAATCTGTGGATCAGCGGAAAATTTCCATCCCTGATTATTCTTCTTTTCTGAAAATCTGTGAAAGCTAAATTTTGTATTAAATCGGCGAATGAGTCAAAGCTACAGCACGTTCTGCGATAACCTGTTGTGTCAGATCTGCAGTGGCTGTATTCATGTGTTGAGGAACACAACTTATGGATCTATAATCAGTATTAGAGGAGAAAATGATGATCTTCCTCCATGCACATCCACACAAATAAGGTTGAAGACAAAGGATGAATCTTTGGGACAGTTTCCATCCATCTTGTGTCATCACACAGGGACCACATCTGGTGGACACCAAGCATCACAGGGACTCCAGGCAAGTATAATCGCTTTCTCTTACCTTGTGATAATAACTATAACATTGTAACATATATCTCTGAAAGAAAGAAAATTTAGCTCTGAAGCTTTGAAATATGGCCAAGTTGTAAGGACCTATTCTGTCATTTTCTTTTATTAACGGTCAGTGATAATTGAGATTTGCCACAATATTCGACCATCTTCAAGAAAGGATGCTGCCCTGGTAATGCCCTAGAAGCAAGAATATGTTTCCACATACAAAGGAAACCTCATGTGACTGTTTTCAATAAGATCGAGTTGATGTCTGTCCCATATTTGCCACTTTAAATGTAACACAGTAATGAGTTCTGGACCTCTTGAAATTCCAGTCCCGTTTTTCTCCCAGCAGGAAAGGATGATTGGTCATGAAGGTGGGGGTTGAGGTTTGTGGTGAAACATTCATCTATTGTCATGTCACAGCTATGATACACAGGGCAACATGAGGGCTGTTCACTATGAGATCTTGAAGCTGTACTCGTTCGAAAGGAATATGGCGTGATCCAGAGCATGGATGTTCACAAACATCTTGCTCACTTGCTTTATGTTTTCTCTGCAAATAGAAAGAAAATCACATTAAAGTCAGCCAATGCTCAAATAAGATTTTATAATTTTTCATGCCCGAGTAATTCTGATTTATTGTGTGAGATAAATATGCTGTAGACACTCTGAATGACTGATTTAGACTGTACACCGGGATAGATTCATTCCAGACTAATTCAATTGCAGCATCAGTTCTAATAGTTAAACAACAAAGGGAACTTAAGTGTAATTAGTATTAACAGGGAAAAATGACATTAAACAACAAATCTGAATGTCAAAAACACAGAATCAAAATGCCAAAGCACTACGCTCTTCAAACAGGTGATCAACCAAATCTGCCTGCATGTGAAAACTCTGTCAACAGATCATTTTTGATCATTTATGTTTGAATGTCAGCTGCTTTGCATTACATCATAGGATCAGCTGATCCGGTCATACAAACTGACAGGTAGAAACCTCACCTGCCCTCATGCCGCCCGGCATCGGAGCCCAACATGGTGGACTTGTGCACAGTATCAGCGTAGAGCGTGAGGTAGCGACACAGAGGCTCCAACTGGGGCATCGTCTTGTCTGTGTCTGCTCGGGTGAACCAGGCCTTAGGTAGTGTGGATATGATCTGTGACATAGAGGAGGACAATCAGAGGAGGACACAAAGTGCTTTACCGCTTGAAACAGTGTTTCAGCAATATCAATAGAGGTCTGAACTATTGTACCTTGACCAAATGATCAATCACTGGATGATTGTCTGGTCCACATTCAATTATTTACAGTCTGCCTCCACAGAGTGCAGTGTTAAGCAACAAAAAATTTTAAAAATTGTATCTTGATCCCACTGTTGTGTGACAAGGGAACTCACCATGTGATCTTGTTCACACTAAGATAATATCCAACCACGAGTTTTGTTTTCCCATGGAGTCATGGAGCAATATTACCAACTTGGACAAACTAGTGGTAGATGAGTGAGTGAGTGAGTGAGTGAGTGAGTGAGTATGGTTTTATGCCGCTCTTAGCAATATTCCAGCAATATCATGGCGGGGGACACCAGAAATGGGCTTCACACATTGTACCCATAGTGGAAGATGACATGAGTAAGTGAGTGAGTTTAGTTTTACGCCGCACTCAGCAATATTCCAGCTATATGGTGGTGGTCTGTAAATAATGGAGTCTGGACCAGACAATCCAGTGATCAACAGCATGGGCATCGATCTGCGCATTTGGGAACCGATGACATGTGTCAACCAAGTCAGCGAACCTGACCACCCGATCCCGTTAGTCGCCTCTTACGACAAGCAGTCTCTTCTTGTGGCAAGCATGGGTTGCTGAAGACCTATTCTACCCCGGATCTTCACGGGTCGACATGAGTAAGAATTATGTGACTACATCATAATGACAAGGGCAGGATGCTACTGCAACCATTGCGCTAACCACTAGGGGCACAACAACCAGGTCCCACCTGCCTCTTTGACTACACAAGTTAATTACTAGGAAAACACACCGTCTTGCATGTCTATCTACTCACTGCGTTAGTTTTCTCCAGAGCATCCTTGTTACAGAAGCCAGTGTGCAGACTCAGGATGATGTATCGGTTGAGCAGCCCATCAAAGGCTATCTGTTGTAAAACTTGATCAGCAAGGATTCCAAACCATGACAGGATGTTGCCAAGTAACTGGAACAATGACACAAGTATCTAGTATTAAAATATTATTCCACCTGCACAACACAGACCAAGCTAGGATGATGAAGATGAAGAGAGTTTTTAGCTGGTCAGTTATATTAAATGTAAACAAGCATTGTCACTAAGGTGACATAACACCCCGCTGCAAATTATCAAATCAAACTTAAAAAGTAATGAAAGTGAAGGTCGTAATTTAAGATGAAGTTAAATGTCAACAAAAACATGACCAGTCAACCTCTCTTGATATCTTGCTCTGTAGTTGTTCAAATGCACAAATATTTTCAAGACTTACTTTGACCTTGACATGAATGTCTTAGTGTATGAAATATGCAAAATAGTAATAAAGAAATTGCTTATTGAAAAACATTCAAGGGAAGTCTTGAAAGTCTATGAAGAAAATCCAGTGAACTGTTCTTGAGACATCTCGCTGACAATCTTAACATGCAGTTTAACAGGCTGAAATCTTCAAAGTGTCGCCGGGACCTTGAAAATTATGAGAAGGTCACCAAAATCGACTGGGCCCTGCGCCTTCTCTAGATAAAGCTTGGTGTTGAATATACAAAAAATCCAGTGAACGGTTCTTGAGATATCTCACTTTGCTGACAAGGGTAAAATGTTAACGTCACCTTGTGACCTTGAAATGAAGGTCAAGGTCACCAAACCTGACTGGGACCTTTCTTTTACTTTGATGAACCTAGGTACCAAATATGAAAAGAATCCAGTCAATGGTTCTTATGATATTCCAATTCGTATGTCTGTACGTACGGAGCCTAATACTATATTCCCCGCTTTGCGCTAATCGCGCGGCGGTGGATAATATATTATTTGAAAGGAACAGTTCAAGGTCACACAAGATACACCACTGTAGAAAACACATTATATAAAGCAAGTCACTGTCAATGTCTGACAGCTTTAGTGTTAAATCATGACTATCCTAGAAAAGTCAACCCACCTTGATACATGTCCAGGACTGTCTGTGGAAGAAGACAGCTGGGCCACCAGATCTGTTCTCTAAAACACTGAAACACAAACAAGTCATATTGAAGTTTGTCACACGCGTTGTTAGCGAGTTGTATATTCCAGACATGAATGCTGGCGAGTCAGTGATGGGAACTGAAAACCTGTGGTAGAAAGTCCCAATTCCCTACATGTGTTACACCTATAAACTAAAGGAATCAGGCGATGTCTCATGAAACTGATGTTTTCAGCTGTTCAACATCCTAGGCCTATTCACACCGAAACACCCAATCACAACACTTAAAAATGAGACTCCTGCGATGAGTTAAGTTCTGTTAATCCACAGAGAATGAATGAAATCTGGTCAGAGAGAAATTTCACCAACAAAACTTTTGAGGTGTTTTTGCAAGGTTTTAACTTTCTGCAATCTGTATAACTGTATATGAACAAGTGCTCTTACTTTTTGGGATACATAGGCATAAAGACATCATCATCCAGGGTTTTCTTCATCCTGCTGGAGATGGCCTTCAGTAATGCCTGAGTATTCTTGGCGTCTCCATTGACAGTGGGGTAGTCGCGGATCAGTCGCTGTACGAGGTTCACTAGTCTTGAGGTCTGTATTGTTGACATTGGGTCCCAAACTGTTTCCACTAGCACTGTAAAACAAACACAGACTTCAGCACTTGAGCTTACACTTACAGCTAAAAGCAGTTTCAGATTAGATTTGGGTGATGCATTAAATGAGTGGTTAAGGTGTTTGGTTGTTATGCCGAAACCCTGGGTTCAATTCCACACTCAGCCTACAGTGTATAAAGCCTATGTCTAGTGCCTCCCAGAATATCTTTGCTAAAAGCATAAAAAAACCTAGCCAACTCATATCTAGCGTGTTGGGTCTTGGGAAGATAATGAAATATCAGCTTATTATGGCAACAAAGCCAAAGTGACAAAGGCCGGACAGTGTTTCAAATTAAAAGAAATGGCCAGCAGGTCCTAAGGTTCCAGTACCATGGAAGAAAGGAACCTGAAAGGAACCCTGTAAATTTGTACACTGTTCTTTATGTTAACCACAGGCTGGAGTGTTGCGGACAGATCACTCGGGCAAATCTGGATCTTAAGTCCATCAGAGCAGGATCCATATGTGCACCAGTAAAGTGGAGACACAGGTCCCCCAAGCCCTGCTATTAGTATTCAGATCAAATCGTACCAACACTTACGAAGCACCTCTAAGCAACTCAGTTATGTCAAAGTTCAAACATTCCGTCATACTCAAACTAACAGACCCTTCCATCCTTAACTGTATGACAATACTGACATTATGTACAAGAAGTAAACTAAAACTAAGGAAATCTGGAAGTAGAGAGGCTAAGAATCACACTAGATCCAAGGAACACACTGATGAGATAGTCTTACTTGTGAGCTTTGGTAAAATTATTTTATCCACAATTGCTGGTAATAATTTAACGTCATCATCTTCTATGGAGGCCTCATCCTCTTCATGGTGAAGACCCAGAAAAACTAGACAGCTGTACCACTGACTCTCTTCAAAGTCAACACAGTTCTCCTGGAAAGAATCAGACAAGTTTAGTACACAATTTTTAATCATATACTGTACTGTCCACATTCCTGAAGAGACTTTTAAGCTATTCTGCTGTTTTATTTCAGGGTAGTTTATAAAACAAACGTTCTGTCTCCTTCGAAAAGTATTTTAGATTTTTATCACATCGAGTCAGCATTCTGTGATGTCTAAGTCCAAAATAAAGGCAGTATAAGAAAATTTCGAGTAAAACTCAAACAAAGATGTCAAACAGGAAAAATCTGAACTCATGACTGTCAACACATCCTTGTATGAACTAAGTCAGACAATTAGTAAACTTAGTCAACAGCTCATTTCAGACCAGAGGTCCATGCAATATAGCTGACTTACTGAGTTTTAGTTTTATGCCGCTTTTAGCAATATTCCAGCAATATCACGGCGGGGGACACCAGAAATGGGCTTAAGACATTGTGCCCATGTGGGGAATAGAACCCGGGTCTTCGGCGTGACGAGCCAATGATATCCACTAGGCTACCCCACCGCCCCCCATGCAATATAGCATTTCATTTCGCCAGAAGACTAGTTTATACAGGTTCCAGAACAGGCTAGTAGCTGTGTTGGACCTGAGTCATGAAGTGTCGGTGCCTCAGGTCAAAGTATCACCATGAAGGTTAACAGTAATAATCACATCAATTCAGCATAATCAAGCATCCAGTGTATTCTATCTCCATTTCCCTTTGAGAAATATCCTTGTCCCTTCTGATACAGCAGTGTTGAGTCGGGATTGAACGACATTCCACTAAAACAACCTAACAATCAAATACCCAGTTCTTTTGTGGTTGAAAACTGTCAATATCCCTGTTACGATACGTTTCAGTGAGTGAGTGAGTATGATTTTACCCCGCTTTTAGCAATATTCCAGCAATATCACGGCGGAAGACGCCAGAAATGAGCGTCACCAATACGTTTCAAGAAAATGAATAAAACTGAAACGCCTTCCAGCAGAAGGACTTCTCTTCCCGGTCTTAACTAACCAAGTATCTTCCCAATCTGCCGATCATAAACATCCACCTTCTGATTATATTAAATATATTGATGGCTTCCATGGCTGCATATAACATGTAGATAAAATTTCAATTTTTTTGACTGGTTGTTGATTTCAGGTTCATAAACAAGAGAAAGTCATTGCTTCTGTGACTTCTGAAACAAACTGATTGTGATCAGAGAAACAAGCTTTACCTCAAGTGGATTCCAATTTTGAGTGTGCAGTCTGATGAGAGGGTTGAACAACTTGGGGAGACACAGCCCAATGTAAGCCTCCCTGTAGGAATCTCCATACCTGAACTTCCACTGCTCGAACTGACTACGGATACAATCAACCTCACAAAAATCTTCCAGCACGTCTTCGAACAAGGTCTTAGCACTTGACTCCAGGGAGTCTGTGGAGGAGATAGAACAGAGGAGATCAAGTCCTGGTTCTACATGTCATTTAGTCTACTATGACAGTTACAGACGCCTGCAGTATTCAATCTAGGTCCATTCTTAACATTGTTACAACAATCACAGCTGAAGTTAGTTTATTGTACAAACCATGGGGAAGTAATTTCTGATAAGTATTTAGTACATGTATTAAAACTCAACCTACTGAAATGATAATTATGGAATTAAATAGCAAACTCTAGCCCAAATGAAAAACAACCAACAAGAAAAAAACGAAACAATTCTGGTCCTAAAGCTATGCTCATACATAAATTCAGTTAAATGTGTCAATCTTTACTAAAGCTATAAGGCAGCTAAACAAGGGTCAAACTTTATGACCATGCTCGGTACAGTGCTAATGTCCTTCAGCTTAAACTCTGCCCTAACAATAACATACAAGGCTGTGCAAGTCTTCGCATGCACTGTATTTGCACAATGATGAAATTGTGATATGATATTTAGATGACCACACTTAGAGAGACTGTAAAGATAAAATCCACCTTTTTCCATAGTGAACTTAGAGATATCAGTTTGACTTTCTTCATCATCTGAAGAGAGACCATCATGGTGGCCGCGAATATTTTTGGCTTCTCGAGCACGGCGCGCCGACGTGACCTGGAATAGAGAACAGCTTTTAGTAGTTTTTCTGTTACACCACATACATAAAAAGTCGAGACAGAATTTCTAAAAGTAATAATATTTCAGATGCATAAAGCAAAAGGGTGTGCATAAACATAGCTTAGCTGAAGTCTAAGCAACACCATTACTGCTCAATAAATAGGTGGCATGGCAGTAGTGGTGAATTGATATGGCAATACAGTATTTTATCACGATATTAGGCTCACAATACAATACATCGATCTATAACTCTTGAATGTAATACATGATACATTAGATTCCTCAAACATAAATCCTGCTCCATCACAAGGTAAACCTTGTACTAACCTTCGTGCTTCCCGCTCAGCTACCCGTCGCTGTCTCGCCTGTTCCTCATTACTGGCCATTATAACCTTAGAGGCAGCCTTACCTACAAAGAAATAGTCAGTCAGTGTTAACAATGGTTTACTGAGGTGTACTGGATCATCTGACTAAATTTATTCTTAGCTGGGCTTTGTATTTCACTGCCATTCTGAGTCAAGCTCATGACTATTCAATCAGATTTTCTATCATAAATACACACATACACACAAAGACTAATACTAATGTCCCTTTATAGGGATAGTTAACTTTCAGGCCTCATCACCAAGGTGATATTTTCAAACAGGAAAATCTGACAGCCATGGGAGGAACTGAGGTTAGCACATAAGTGTAATGGTGGTGAGAGTTCTGTTTATGTCACACTGACCAATATGTCTATTTTATATTTAAACATTCCTCTTGAAGAGAACATCAATACTCAAAGGCATAGAAATATTGACTGGTTTAGGTTTACGCTGCTTTTAGTGATATTCCATCAATATCTCAGCAGGGGAGACACCAGAAATGGGCTTCACACACATTACAGGAATGTTGAAAAGAAACATTTTGAAGTATTTCAAGGAAACATAGCTTGTCCGCTTGCAAATGCTATGATTTAGGTAGAATTTCACAGGTTTGGCAGAACAGGAAACACTGAATACATTTGTCAGATAGTATAAAATGACATCATAAAACAAGTGGCAAGTTGGAAATATGACAAATCTTGTATGAATGAATAACTAATATCTGGAAGAGAGAAGGTGAGACTGTAGTGTGTTGTATGTACAATGTACATTGATATGAGAGATAAATACCGACTTGTCATGTAGTCCTGACACTGGTCTCGGACATCCTGCTGCCGCCGTTGCAGCAGATTCTCGGCCCGCAGTTTCAGTAAGTGAAGCATGCGAGTCTCCAAGTCATTGATCAGGGGCACCTGTAACGTGAGGAGGGAGGTTAACACTGGCACATGACACGTGTACAGTGGAGCAGCTTCACCTACACACCATAGCATTAACATAGTATAGAGGCATCTTCTTCATGCAGGACAGCTCAACATCCCTGCATGAGAATTTACTCGATGCATGGCAATTTATCACCACTGCATGTCATTAAAACATCCCTCCATGGCCACGCATCACCCCTGCATGACGACTAAATACCTTGCATGACAATTTAACATGCCTACGTGGCAACATAATACCACTTGACAGCAGAACACTGACTTGCCTGTTGTTTGACTGTCAACTTCATTCATTAGACATTAGTGCCTAAAAAATTTAAATCCCTGCATGACAGCTTAACAGCCCCACATGGCAACTAAACATCCATTCAGGACATCACATCCCTGCATACACAAATATATAGCCCTTCACAATGTTCTGATACACAGCAAGACAGCTTAACACTCTTACATGACTGAACACAACTACTCTTAGCTCTACTAAGAGCTAAACTCTCCAACGTGACAGTTGAATACCAGTGTAATATCAGAAAACTCCTACATGACAACTCAACACAGTCCAGAGTGACAGCTGAACACTATCATGAAATAGCTAAACATGACTGCATGACAGCTGAACACTGTTGTGTAATAGCTAAACATGACTGCATGACAGCTCAACACTCGTGTAATAGCTGAACACTCCTACAGGACAAAAACAAAGTTAACCTATATGAGTACCATCCTTCTTCACACTAAATATGGGACATTTAAATATTCTCTACCAACAGTCTTCAATTCTATCTCGAGATATACCATTACTATACCACAAATGTAAGTAGTTCAGACTTCTTTACAAAAATTCTACTACAAATAATATCTTTTCAAGGTTGCCAGAAAACATTGGCATGTAGGTAAAGGCTGCACACTGGACATTTTACAATTTGGGTTGATTTGCAAGGGAGTATAGAACAAAGATAGCAAGCTCAGTTTAACTGACTAATCAATTCTTATGAAGCTGACAATGAAGTATATTCTTAATATTCATATAAAAACAAATTATTTTCAAGAATTCACTTATAACTAATAGCTTCTAAAATATCTAGACATAGATTATGTTAACACATCATTTCTTGTGTGTCCAATATAACACTGAAAGTTTGTTAGTCAACAGTTTGGATTCTGAAATAAACATGTTCATTAGTTGTTACACTGAACAAAGACTGCTCTAAGATGGAAGTGCATAAGACATCAATGACACAAAAATGATGGAATGTTTGTCCATAAACATTTGAAACAAGTAACTTTAAGTCAGTATCACTAAACATCAAGAAACACAACTGTGCAAGGATGACAAGCAATCCCACCCACAAACAGCATGGCCCCTGTATACAGTTGATTTGCTTTAGAATAGTCAGTGTGTCAGCAATGTCAGACACTGAGGAATTGATCAGGTGGTGTTTTAGTTGAGAACATCTACAGGGGCAGCCATTCTAGAACCCTTCCCTCTCACACATAGATGGTCTCACTGCTGCAATATGACTGCCAAGATCGAGATCAGTATGTTAAGACAGTTTGTGAATCAAAGTCATATTGTGCAGTGAAACAAGCTCGAAGTCACTGCTTTGTTTGGCCAATACAACATCATAAACATCTCAGCATGAAAAACAAACCTAACAGTTTGAAAACCAAATATTTTAGTCACTCGTGAGTAATGTCATAAAACCTATCATCAAAATCAGGACTTGGCCTTAAAGCAGTATTCCATGCTAAAAATATTTTCCAGAATATTTGCTTTGAAACTTCTCAACAGCAATATGTAGAACAGTATGTTCAAGTAAGATCAATTCTGAAAGTCTAATAGCATTACTGTATTACAGTTGAACAGTTCCAACTAAAGCAGTGACCTCTGCTGCATCCTACTGACCCGCCCAAAAGATAGTATATTGACCCACCTTCTCGTTTAGACACTCAACCAAGTCTCTCACATACCCCCTCATTTCTTGGAAGAACTTATAGCGTTCCCCCAAACTGCTGCATTTCCCTTCACACTCTTCAATGCAAGTTTGGGTGTCGACAAACTCAGTTGCCAGTCTGTCACGTTCCATCTTATGACTCCTGTAAACTTCGTCCATTACGTGGAGCCTAAACACAGGAAACAGACACAAGGCTCTCAAACATTCTTTCAATTAAAATCATATATACTGATGTGGAGAACTATGGAAATAGTTATCAAGGGAAGCTTGTTTCTCATTGATTTACCATGTCCTGCAATTCCAGGGTTTTTCTGATAATGTTGTCCACAAAACAGACACTGACACTGCACTGTGAAATGTTGATGTTTTTAGTTGTTTGAGGCTGCCCCATTCAGCAATATTCCAGCCATGGTGTAAAATATTGATTCTTGAACTGGACAATCTGGTGGTTGATGTTATCAACGACACCTGATGATGTTGGGGTTGGATGACAATCACACAAACCATGTCACAGAGACCATCTGATCCATTCAGTGTCCTCCCATGACCTGCCTGTCATGCTCGAGGAATCACTAAGGGTCAGGACATACATAGCTGAATTGTCTCAAAAAACACAACATCCGATGAGCTCAGAAGAAACAATCTAAAATTTTATTTAAGTTCAGACCTTGTCAGGATTTATGCTATTGAAGATATGTCATATTGATAGGGGGAAGGGGAGGGAATGAGGTAGGGGTGGAGGGGAAGAGAGAGGGTGGAGGGGGAGAGAGAGGAGGAGGGGGAAGAGAGAGAGAGAGGGGGGAGGAAGGAGAGACAGAGAGAAAGAAAAAAAGAAAGAAAAAGAGCGAGAGAGATTGAATTGTGATAACCGGGTTCACTCTTACCATATATATATACGCAGAGAAATGTTTTAGCAAAGTACATCATAAAGTAATTTTCACCACATATTTCTATTTCCTCTAACATGTCTCAAAAGGCTTTACCTAAACAATTTGCAACTGTCTCCATGAATATTGTTGGTAAACAACTGATTAACACAATTACATGGAAACACTAATCAATGCTCTTATTTGCCAAGGGTTGAAATGCAGACATGTAGAGATACAAATGCCATCAACAGCAGTAAGTTTCTGTTACCTCTCTTGCATTCGCCTCCTGATGGCCTCGATTGTCAGCTGGGAGGCATCAGCTGTCTTGGACAGGGCCTGGAATGGCTCAAACTTGGTCTTCTGAGAGTCTCCATTGTTGAATATCGAGTAATTCTGCGGGGAACTTGTCTTTGCTTCATACTCATCCTGGCTCGATGACACCTGAAAGCATGACCATGTGTCACCGAAGGGTAGTGTTTCATGGTATAATTCTATGATTATTCTATAATATGCTTGTCCTGACTTGTCACTTGTCACTGTTGATGATAGTTTATACTATCATCAACAGTGACAGGCTGGGCTTGTACTTCATTACAGCATCATAGCTCTTGCCTTTCATTTTTTCTTCCCTGAGATTTAGATGTTTTGTAATTGGTAGACACTGAGAAAGGTCTCAATGGCATCGTATGAATCAAACCCAGGTTATGGGGATGAGCAGCCATCACTAGCCACAAGGCAACCCAGCTCCCCCTGTGACTGACCACATTACCTGCTGTATGTTAGCTGCAGTCACTGCCTTCCGGATCTGCTGGGCTTCCCACTCCTGGATCTCTCGGTCACTTCCTTCATTGTCACTCCCTAAAACACAGTATTACACAGGTGTTAGGGGCCAACACATTTCATATTCTCTTGGTGGGGTCTAAGAGACATTTTTGCCCAAGACAAATATTTTTTCAGTCAAACACTTATTTATATACATGGTTTTATCTGGAAGGTGAAACCAATGGAAACATTGGACATTTAAACCTGTCGATAAATTATTTTTTCTCCAGCATTTCTTGAACTGATATTCCACTGTTGAGAATGGATTCAAACATATCCAGGAACATGTAAGGGACATAACCATCTACAAGAAAGGATGTTACACCATGTAAGGCCATTTGGCAACCAATATCCTTCAAGATTGTGCTTATCAGTAGATTACATACCATGCTCGGCTGCTAAAAAGTCGTCTCTCATCCGCTGCAGATCACGAGCAGCAGTGTCAATGGTGAAGTCGATCCGGTCTTCCTCGTCACTGCGGTCATTCTCATCATCCCTGCAACAACCACACTACTTGGTCAAACATGAAAACAACAATCTTGGGTTTCTCTGGACAAATTGGTCTGCTTGTTAATGTCAAATGTCAAGTGATCAACGTTGTAAGCAATAAACCACACTGTCATCGTAGACTGACATGCACTCAACTACTTGATACACTTTGTCACCTGTTACAATCGGCATGGCGAATGAAAACCTATTCTTACCTTTAATCCCTATGGGGTCACGAGAATTTTGAAGGCACAATGCCACACATTTTCTACAATATTTTGGCCTATATTATATACATTGGGGCATATGCAGTCACTTCAGCTTCCTATTGATGCAATAAAAGACTTAATATTATCCCTTTTGACTTGCCTGAAATTGATAATTGAAACTTCGAAGACGAACAGCTTCAAAAGAGAGAACACTTGCCATACATGGGATGTAAACAATTGCTCCGTACATCGAAAACGGTCACACTCGGTGTTGCAGGTGTTTGCTGAACTGGTTTCAATCACAATTTGTGTGTAGAATATTTGTACAGAGCGCTCTAAGGGACAAAACTCTATGGGGTTAGCTTAAAATAATGTTCGGCCGGTAGAGGGCGCAAGAGTCGATTTAATGCAACTTTTTAATTTAATATTGTAATCTAAATATCGCTTGTTAAAACTGAAGTTAATTATGCACATTCTGACTAAAATATATGGCAAACTCTAAGCTGATCTGTATCATGCCATACCTGACAAGTCTAGCAGTTGTTTTGTTTGGTGCCTCTGGTTCTTCAAGAGGTATTTCATCTCCCAGTTCTCTTGCCATCTGCCGCTGTTTTCGAATCATGTGGATGGTCCGTGCATCTGGGATCTCACCTCCTGTGAAAGTAATTCACAGATTTGGTCGAGTGAGTGAGTATGTTTTTATGCCGCTTTTAGCAATATTCCAGCAATATTACTGCAGGGGACACCTGAAATAAGCTTCACACATTGTACCTACATGGGGAATCGAACCCCGGTCTTCAGCGCGATGAGTGGATGCTTTAACCATTAGGCTACCCCAATGCCACGAAAATTTTTATAACATCAAAATGATCTGAGAAAGTGAGCTGAAACCGAAGGTCTTGATCATTTACAACTGAGACTTTAAAAAAGATTTGCCTTGATGCAGAACTGTTAATACCTATAAACCTGGGTTTTTTCTGTATAAATTTTGTCTCTTTCTTCTTACAAGTAAGTGAATGTAAGTTTTTTGCCCCATTTAACAATTATCCACCAATATCACAGCTGGGGACACCAGCAATGGGCTTCACATTAGAACTTACAAAGATATATGCAGTTGATGAATGAAAACAACACAAATTCAACTTAATACATGTTATTTTACATCACATACATACATAATTCCACACCTTGTTAAATATGAATGGACATCCTAATCATTTTACATACTTACATTAAAAGAAAAGAAAAGATGAACACCAAGATGTAATGAAATCATATTTCTTATCACAAGATTGTCCTTGGCAGGTAAGTATGCCCGTGAAACACAATTCTTCAGTTCTTCAAAACACAGGTAGTTCCTTGAAACACAGTTCACCAATTCTTTAACAAACATGTACTGTCCTTTCCACATGAATCATCTCAAAGAAATCACAAGAGAAAAGATAGGATCACTGAAATAAATTATTAGAACCTCTTAGAAAAATGTCAAGAAAATCAAGATCTTCTCCCAAAGAGTTCTATGCCAGCTGGTTGCCACTGCCATGTGCCATAGCTTGGATAGAGGAACCAGCAGTGCCACTCTGGCCAAACTGCTGCTGAAACCGCCTACCCTCAGCAGACGGTAGCACGGCCATTGCCTCCCAGCTCGTAGCAATGAATTTGTCCAGTTGAGGCCCGAATGTAGGGATATCTTGGTAGGTTGGCCAGTGTGCATTATGGTGAGTGGCAAGTGCCTGCTGTAACACAGTTATGCGCTCCTAAAGAGCTGCATTTTCTGTCTGGAGATCTGACATGGATGACATATTTGAGGATGCACATGAACTAGGAACATTTTCTGTCAGGAGATCTGACATGGATGACATATTTGAAGATGCACATGAACGAGGAACAGACACACGTGGTGTTTCATGCAGATTTTCAGGAACAGCATCTGTCTTTGGGACAGACATGGCAGAGCCAGAAGTTGAGACTTTCCCTGATCTCTTCTTCCAACCCCCTCTCTTTCCCCGGGGTCGCCATGTCTGCCAGGACAAACAGTAAACCCCGGGGTCAACAAAATGTTCATTTTGCTCCTCCGTAACAGTCACATTTGTGCAAAGTTTATCAACATTGGCAGTAATAACATGTGAATTCAAATGCTTGTGAGCAATATGGTACTTTAAACATTTCAGTGAGGACCGAGCGTCGTTACATTTCTGGATGGGGCAAACGAATGATTTATGCACCCTGTGATGTGTCTGCGACCAATGCTCTTCAAATTCCCGTCTGGATGGAAAGGTCTTAGTGTCTAGGCAGACAGGGCAGTCCAGGGGGTATAAACATGATCTATCATCAACTTCCTCAATCAGAACTAGAGTGAACATATCCAGTAAATAGTGTTGAAAGCTTACAAGCCCAATTTTTTAAAATATTACCACTTAAAAGATATGCTGCTTAACATTCAGCTCAAATTTCATTCTAGAACATATTCTTTATTTCATTTTGATCTGTTGCATCCACAATATTCACATGGTCATCAAACATAAATAGAGGTCTACTAATATATACGGAGGCAAGTAAGGTATTGTTTTCAGGTTCATTGGAATAACAGTAGAGGTTCTTCCCAGGACTATATAGACACACTGATTGTCCAAGCTTGTCAAAACTTCTTACTTCCCACGCTGTACCTATTCTTTTGTATTTTGGAAAATGTTAAAGGCTATGAAGGGGGATCTCAAGGCATATTCAAACCTCTCCCTGAGTTTCAAAACATAAATAATAATAAAATAATGTGTCCATTTATATAGCGCCAAACTCCACACCAGGTATGCTCATAGCGCTAACAATCAATAAGGCATTATTGAAGTCCATAGAACTTTTTGTAAAGAAAGGTTTTGAGATGGCACTTAAAGTTATCAAGGGTTGGAGACAGCTTAAGTTCATCAGGGAGGGAATTCCATTTGACTGATGCCATGTTCTGGTAAGACTTGCAGCCAAATGATTTGAGGTTCCACTTTGGTACATAGAGCAGATTAGCAGAGGATGAACGCAGAGTTCTTGTTGGCATGTATGGAGAGAGGAGTTCTTGAAGATACACTGGTGCAATACCATGAATGGACTGATAAGCAAGTGTTAAGGATCTTATAGTCAATGCGAGCTTCAATAGGCAACCAGTGAAGAGACAACAGGATGGGAGTGATGGGGCAGCGTTTTGGTTGGAGAGTAACTATGCGGGCAGCTGTGTTCTGGATTTGTTGGAGCTTTTGGATGGACTCTTGTGAAGCTGCAACCAACAAGCTGTTGCAATAGTCAAGTCGTGAGAGAATCAGTGTTCTCACCAGGGCAGCCGCAGCATCCTGTGACAGGAGATGTCTGATCTGTCCAATGTTATGGAGATGGAAGTAACATTTTCTGCACAGATCCAGAATCTGTTTCTTCATGGAGAGGTCAGGTTGGAGTAGGACGCCAAGATTTCTGACATGTAGAGAAGGCTGAATGACCATGTTTCCAACTTTCAACTCAACATGTTGTGATTTTACTAACATGTTTCTTGTGCCAACAATCATACCCTCTGTCTTGTGTTCATTTAATTTTAGTTTGTTATTGAACATCCACGAACCAATATGGTAAAAGGCATCTTCAATTCTGGTCAAGTCAGAACTGTTGTCATAGCCCATGGTAATACCATCAAACAACTGAGTATCGTCAGCATAAAGATGATGATTAGTAGCTTTCTCACAAAGCAGATCACCAAGTTCTTTGGTATACATAGAGAACAATACAGGACCGAGAACCGATCCCTGTGGTACACCACAAAGAATAATAGCTTCCGCCGACTGAGCATTACGAACAGCAACAGATTGAGTCCTGTTTGATAAGTAGGACCTAAACCACAGAAGAGTCATATCATTTACATACTTGTCTTGCTTCTGAGCATTTCCATTAGGGATCAGTTGGATCGAGAACTGTACTTCCTTACTGATTTTAAGCTTATTTGGTGCAAGCCCAGTAGACTCATACCTAGAAGATCTGTAAGTTGCAAAGACATAGGCAACTATGTTCCATGACTTGTATCCCATCTGCATCTTTGCAGAGCATGACACTCAAGTTTGAAACTTACACAATGAAGAGCAACTTACTTAGTTCTTGGAGGAGAGTAGCCTCATATTGTCTGCCCTGGGCACTGCATTAGTGCAGGTGTACCAAAGCAACAACCCCACTCTTCCACAATATTCCCGGCTTTTTTTTTCTAGCCTCAATATTTGGAACAGTATAAGTCCACTTGGTAAAGGCATCTGTAAGCAACAAATGAACTTGCTACCAGACTATACGATTGGTCCCTTAATGTCAGTAGTAGCTACAAAGGCAAGCCAGTTATATTACTGTGTCATGGATGCTCTCCCTTTAAGGTTTGTTTCCGAGCTGAACACTTGTCATGTCTAGTAGTGTTGACTTATGTCTCTATTCATGTCAAATAATAAAACTATTGGAATTTATTTTAACGCTTTCTGTTCCCCAGGTGACCTAAAGGAGATTTATGGGTGAGGATTAGGTGATGTTTACTAGTGGGCATGACAATAAGCCAGTGACATCTTTATTTTTGGTTCTCCTATCAAACCCCTTGTCAAACAAACAACTGATTATATTGTCCCCACAGAGCCTTACAAACACTTGAAGTGACAGACACCTCTTTCCACTGTGGTCTGATAATATTTGCTCTGGCTTTGTAGATGAATGCATTATCATCATCGGCTCAATAAATATTTTTATGTTCATCTGGAGATAATTGTTCATAATGGCCATCACACTCCCCAAAGGCTTGGATACGAACCAAGGCCAACGCATTGTTTGCTGCAAGGTCCATCGTCTCGTCCGCACTGAGGACATGGTACACAAGCTGGGCAACATGATGTCCAAGTACATATGGATGCTAATAATCGCAAGCATTGACCACTGAAAGAGGTTTACATCAGGTACCTGCTGCAGAAAGAGAGATATCCCAGAAATACTTCCCGAAATTGCATTTGTGCAAAGACTGGACTTGGGTCTTTCACTAGAAGCATCAGTGTCAGGAATAACTTGGCCTTTTGGTTACGAAACACCAAGCATCAAAGCAGAAGTAAAGGCCATTTTTATGCTCATAAAAGCTTCATCACTCTACTGAAACTCAACTGAGTCTTGTTAAGGGTCTTGCGTTCTTCGAAATCCTTACAATGAGTGAGTTTAGTTTTACGCCACACTAAGCAATATTCCAGCTATATGACGGTGGTCTGTAAATAATCGAGTCTGGACCAGACAATCCAGAGATGGGAAGCATGAACATCGATCTACGCAATTGGAATCTTTACAACAAATCACTTGTAGTAGTTTGCACACCTAAAAAACCTTTGCGCCATTCTGATGCAGCCCATTCCTTTACTGTTTTTTGCTGAAATCATATGCCATAAGTTCATTATGGTCTGAAATAAGTGTCTTTGTTTAGGCTTCAGACACAACCCAATCTCTCAACAGTCTTTGGCAAGTCTGTCAAACATTATTGAGCCTATTCTCGACAATTCTCTCCAGCAAATCAAAATGTTCTTTTCTTCCTGCAGGTTGTGGAAAAACAGTTGCTCTTAGAAGTTGATGAGTTGTCTAACAATTGGGTCTGCCCAACAAACTCGCACTCCTTGTAGCATGCAAACACTCCTGTCAAGGAGTTGGAGACAAAGAAATTTGTCTATAGCTGAAAACCAAAAGAATAATTACTATGCGCAAAGGCAGAGCCAATAATGCTGCAAAGTAATTATTGCTTTTGGAATGAATGATCAAACAACTGTAGAGTCACTTTCAGAAAAAATACATGTAGCAGAAGATGACAAAAGACAGAGCGGGGAAAACACAATCAAACAACAAATGCAAGATGTGACAATAAACTGGAAGGATGTAATCTCCCAAATGACATATCCAGGGAGGTGTGTACGTATGTATTTTGGAGGTAATATATTTCATGGATTTAAAGCATAAAAAAATTGGAATGAACAACACAACTTTTAATGACGAAAGTCCAAGAAGATCTTGTGACTATTTGAGGTGATCACTGGGGCTAACCATAACTGTTAAATATCAAGATAATTAGATGATACACTTTATTGATCTTATAACTACAATGTAGATAGTGTGTACATGCCGTGCATGTAATAATAGATAATCACATCTTGAACAGTTAAAAAGAACAATATGATTTCGAGAGCATGTAAAACTGAATGTTTCGATCATTCATTAACGAGGTTGACTGTAAGTCACACACTGACTCTCCGGCTTCATCATGTGAGTTAAAAGTGATGTAATCTTGAGTCAACAATAATGCACTAGTTGAGAGACATCAAAAGAGGCACACAATCCTCATCTGAGCTGACTCTTATGACAAGCACTGGGGTACTGGCCACCTACCCTGCCTTGAACCTGAATCATCTTAGATTTGATTCTGAAGAACTTGAGAAATGGCATCTTCAAATAGTCTCAAATATATTGTCTCTAATGACAAGTTAAATATATTCAGGAAAATTGTGTGGTTTGTCAAGTTTACTATTGGTCTCAAATCCGAGTTGGTTCAGATTATTGAACATGACTGGTTGTTTGCCAGGCTCCAAAAAACATCATCAGCAGCAGCTATTAATGAAAACCAATCAAGCCAGATCCACTTACTTGCCAACATCGACCTGAAAACCATTTTCCCATCCTCATCACTTTCTTCATCTTCGTCTTCATCCCCATTCAAAGTTCTGATCTCTTCTCTTAGTTTCTAAAAATTGACAAAACATTTCATACATCACATAAGCAATGAATTTGATTTGACGGAAACATTCATTCAGCAATGCCATCAGTGCTATGGTTGAAGCCAATAGATAATCTGAATTCGAACCCACACTGTGTGCCAAAGTCAGTGATCAAACCTATCAGACACTGCGGCTTACACAAAAATGGAAGTCTATATCAAAAGGCTGAGTAGGTTAGATCGTTGACTTTGCTGACAATGAGGTACCTACAAGATTATAGCTTCCAAACACGAAACAAATTCCACCAAAATGCACTTGAATTGTGAAAGTGCAATCTCAAATATAACGTTTGTTACATATACTTTAACATGTTCATTTAGTCCCAAAGTTAGTGCATGTGTTCTTTCAATTTTGTTCTGTTAACACTTCAAGCGATATATACATTCACAAAAAAAGTACTAGCTAATGTAGCAGCTCTTCACCTTCAGTTTTTCTTCAGCAATTTCCTGAGGCTCTTCCTTAATTTCCTTCTCTTCTTTCTTTGGACTGTCTGGATTTTCCTCTTTCTCCTTCAGGCTTTCCTTCTTCAGCTGTTTGGCAATACGTTTACTGTGACTAGATTTCTTGACTTTAAACACTTCAGTGTCACCTGGAAATGTCAATTTTAAAACATTTTCTAAAAGTGATTATGTATATAATATCACATTAACAGGGCTGTAACAAATCTATTATGAGGCAAATATGACATATCATGAACATTATGTTATGAATAAACAATAATGAATCAGCTGTTGATGTATTGTTCAATATATTTAGTGAAACAGAAACAGAATAATTTATTTGACTTGTTTTGACCATAGTTAATATGACATAACAATAACAAGATAACCACATGCATTACTGTCAAACTGGATCTATAAAAGTGTTCATTATTAATATTATCGTGCCTGGCTTGGACATATTCGATTTTACACATCTTGCTTCTATTAATAAGACCAAAACAGAGGCCCAGATAAGCTGCGTATCTGGGTAAAATACGCATAGAAAATTTCCAATTACACATTGAAAAATAATTGTTGCGTACCAATTACGCAATTCAAATGTTAGATACACAAATAGTTTAAGACAAATGCGTACGGAATATATTTATAAAAATCGCTTGCGTAATAAAAAAGACATCGATTGCTATCAAGTTGTACTGTTGGTATAGGACTAGTGTTGTACTGTCAGTATTGGAGAAGTGATTTTTTTATGAAATCATTTCCATTATATTTAAGTTGGTTTTGATTAGGTATGATATAAGGCAGGACATTCCTGCATAGTAAACTTGCTCAATGACATAATACTTAGGTGAGTAAAATGACTGAAATATGCACATATTTGAAAGCAGTGGGTAATGGAAAATGAAATACACACTCAACATTCATAATACCCACTCCAAAAAACTACAGTGGGTACAGTACCCACATGAGCTAAATCTTATCTGGAGCTCTGCCAAAAAACCCCACTCCTTTGAAGAAAATCAATGAATATTCAATTCTAGTTATCCTGAATAACAAATAGAAATCATGAAGGATATGGGGTAAGAGTTCTGCCCGTAACCCCCGCTTGAAATGTATTCTATTTATTATGATTATTTCGAGGTTTTAGGGTTAGGTTTAGGGTTTTAGGATTTGCGTTTGGTTTAGAGTTAGTGTTAAGGCTTTTTGATAAAAACCATTTGTTCTTAGGCATAGAATGATAAAAATAAAACGGGGGTTACAGTACTAAACCTACAGTGAGAACAGCAAAATTCAACTTCTTTGGCAGGCATTTGGGGAGTACTGCACTTTACCGGGCGCACTTTTTTAGATTAATTAGCGCTGCTGGGTTTCCCTAACCCTAACCCTAAGGATCGTAAAGGGTGCTTAACCCTAAGGATCGTAAAGGGTGCCTAATCCTAAGGATAGTAAAGGGTGCCTAACCCTAAGGATCGTAAAGAGTGCCATACCCTAACCCTAAGGATCGTAGAGGGAGCAGCGAGGGCTGCGCCCAGTAAAGTGCATTCTAGCCGGCATTTGGAATTTGAACCACTAGGAAAGAATAACAATAATCGGATTGGCTCTTATTGTTAGAAAGAAGTTATTCATTCTTAACTTATTGCTGTCCTTCATTAACGAAATTCAAACGGATATTGGCGGATCTGCGCTGAGGGATTATTATTCCACAAAATAATAATCCCACAGAGTTTATTTACAAGTACATAGGCCGTACCATCTTCCTCTGTGTCAAAACTGAGCGGTTTGACTTTCGAAGGGTCTAATTCTTTATCACGTTTCTTTTTCTTCACTTTCTTTAACTCCGGAATTGGTGGTGGTGGCGGTGGCAGTGGCGGCGGTGCACGCAAAATGTCTGGACAATCATCGTCAATGTCCATATAATTTCCATTTTCTTCATTATCAACCTCTGAGAGTTTATTTTCGTTTTCCTGATCAGAATCACTGTCTGTAACAACTTTTCTTCGGAAATTACGTTTAGGCTTCTTGAACATTGTCGCCATTTGCAAATCGTATGCCGAATTTTATAACCTGCGAAAGAGATGTTCATGCAAGCTCTGATACAAAAAGCAGGCCCACGAAAGCTCTTTGCACGACCGGCTACGCTTATCGAACTGTATTATGAACAGTTTTATCTCTGTATGGAGCTATGTAAGCGCGCGTTGCCTGCAAGCTCTGCATCAGCGTGTGACCTTCAAATTATGAAATACAGGAATAAACTACCACTGTAATGAGCTTGACTGCCTGCGCTGCAAGGGAAATAACTGCGCGTAAGGCAGAATATTATCAATGTTTTGCCATCTCCGCATAAATGCTGTAAAACTGAATGATAGGAAATAAAAATAAACCCCGAATTTTGTTTATGTATTCGTCTTTCTAATGCACTTATATTTGAGCAGATTATTTGAGAAACGGTGTGATTTTGCTTCGGCTTCCCTGGAGTTATAATCAATAAAACGTATTACAATCGAATAAACAGATAGTGTATATTTTACAAATTAATACACAACAATGGTAGATATAAAAATCACTACATTTTATTTGAATCAAGTTTAATGTAAATGATACGAAAATATATGTTTACTTGTTACCGTTCTCTCTTGGAAGCGTATTAAAAATATGTACTGTTATTGTTAGTTGGGCTAATAGTATTGACATCGCCCATGTTTACGTTTTTAACATGGATGTTTGACAGAAATGTTTGGCTTGAGCAAACTCTGCTCTAACAGGCAATACAAATGTATTTTACTTTGACTAAATAACCGGGAGTGTTGAGCGGCGAAATGGAATCCCCTCCTACCTTTGTAGAAGAGATCGAGTTCCACGAACTGACATTTCACGAGGTGCGAATTATGTTCTTCCTAGTTTTTAGCCTAAACGACAAAAGTTTGCAACTGCAAGACAGGAATGTCTAAAGAGTAGGTTTAATCCGATTTTAGAGGGCCGTGACATGTACATGCGATGCACTGTTACAGATGTTAAGTAGTTCCATGTTCCTCTTGTTCTCTGATTAACAAGACCTTTAAATCAGGACACACCCTTTTAGTTCTCATTTGAATAGGAACTTCTCATCTGCAACAATATTTACTGTTGCGTGTGTGAAGTTTGACATGTATGTTAGACACATATATGGATACAGTTAACTGACAAGCAAGTAACAATTGCAAATTCATCACAGACAAATTTGTATAATGTTTGGATGCAATGTTTACCATTATTTTTTATGTAAAACATGTCTTTTGGAAATGTATTGTTATTATCTAAGTGATACAGTCATTGATATTGTACAAGACATGCAGGGTTGGTCACTTACTTTGAACGTAAATTTTTTGGGGGTCATTCACATTGTACATGCTTCTCCATATAGATCAAAACACACACACACACACCCCCCCCCCAAGCCATAAATTATGAACGGTCCCTTATTATTCTGAAGTAAGTTCAGACTTACCTAATGCAAGCCTTTCAGTGTGCTTTTCATTTTGTTTTGCATAATAATATAGGTACTAAAGTACTGTCGGAAATAGAAAAAAAACGTTTTTTCACATTTATCTCTACAATTTATGTAGTTGATATGTGAAAGTGTGAAATATCTGTTTAATTAAGTTCGGCCTAACTACAGTCTCAGTGGCAGGGAGATAGAAAATGTAAAATAAGGACTTTACTGAGGAGAGATTAGTGCAGAAATGGAGATAGAAAATGTAAAATAAGGACTTTACTGAGGAGAGATTAGTGCAGAAATGAGCAATGCGTTTTTTTCTAAGTCCAAAGCAAATTATTTGGAACAAACCATGGCTTTATGCAAATTAGTGGGTGATGATATTGTATTACAAAGGACACTTTTTAAATGCCCATTTTGAAATTAGACTTATCTTCATTTTAAACGATAGCTGACGTAAAAAATAATAACATTCATGCTGAAACTATTAAGGATGTTGCTACCATGGAGTCTCACTGTCACTATAAAAAGAACAGATAGGAGTGGTTGTCTCAAAAGCAAAACCAGGATGGGTGTCGCAGACAATGGTTGGGGTCGGGCTGGGGGATAGAGATATCAGCTAAGCTAAGATTATCCTTTAGGGGAATTAAACTGGGAGGCAAACGGCATGTCATAGCAATTTACAAATAATATCCAGTCCTGTCGATCTTCGGGTGGTCATGCCACCTATATATTTTGAGACATTTAATATGATGCTTTTCTATGGTTATCAGGTATCAATGACTATCATACTCTTTTTACATTCTCAACATAAACTTTATGAAAGAAAGACAAAGAGATGTTAATCAATAGACACATGAAAGAAAGACACGTAAATATCTGTGAGATGACCCCTTGTGCCTGTAGGCAGCATATGCATTTCATGCCAGGTGAGTCAACGGTCTGTCGTCATACCTGGCTGAGCGACCTAATTGCCATCTGTAGTCTGATCCATTGTTTTCAGCAGCTATTTTTTTCTAAGTTTTACCTGATTTTACGAGTGAACATGCTTTTCTGGATATCCTCTTACGCATCCCTCTGAACGCCGACTTAGGCCGATGTGGGTTATTTTGACATATGCTATTTGCAGTTGTGTAAATTTTAGGGATACAGAGTAACAGCCTAAAAACAGTTTTTTTCTATTTCAGACATTACTTTACTACAACTACAACAGTGACATGCATGATAACATAGAGTCCCATATCAAATTGACTTTATCGCCAGCTTGATATTTGGTGACAGCACATAAAGGAGAAATGGCATATAGTTTGACTTACATGATTTGAAACAGCTTTTTGCCCTGTATTTTGTTTTAAGGCTAACTGTTTATATTTGAGTGGAGAGTGAACTTAATTTTCATGAACATTGTCAGACCATTAGAATTCAGTGTAATGTATTATCAAAACTTAAAAACATTCTATGGTGCAGTGTGTGAAATCATCTCCAAATACTGCTGGGGAGCTGGCTGTAAACAAGCTGGCCTGTTTCAAATCTCACAAGGTTATATATGCAACAAAATATCTTTTTCAGACATTTGTTTCTGCAAAGGTATAAATGAAGTTATGCCAAATTGCAAATTATAAGTTAATATGAAAGTTGGCAACTCTGATCTTTAATCTTTAGTCCCTGATGTATGTTGTGGGAAGGGGGTAGCCTAGTGGTTAAAGTGTTCGCTCATCATGCCAAAGGCCTGGGTTGGATTCCCCACATGGGTACAATATATGAAGCCCATTTCTGGAGTTCACCGCCGTGATATTGCTGGAATATTGCTAAAAGCAGTGTAAAACTAAACTCACTGATGTATATTAATTCTTTTTTAAATTTTTGATGGTCATATTTATCTGGAGAGAATTCAAACTTTACCTGAAGATGTTGCTCATCCAAGTTAAACTATCTAAAACACTTTTATACTGTTAATAATGATGTTATGAGAAATGGAGTACACTGAATACTTTCCATATGTTTCCTGTCTGTTGTAATGTGGCAATTAATAGTTAGTGAGTGGACCCTTAAAGATTTGGATTAGAAGATTAGGGTTACAACTGATCTTCACCAACCCATGCTTGTTGTTAGAGGCAACTAGCAGGATTGGGTAATCAGACTTGCTGACTTGATGGATGTGTGTCATAGTATCCCTATTGTGTTGATTGATGTTCATGGGTTTGTTGGGTCCAGGTGCGATTATTTACAGGCTGCTTTTATGTAGCAGGAAGATTGTTAAACAACGAAAGTTAATAACTGTGCCAAGTACATGACTGACCCCCCTGTTTCTTTTTTGGACAGCATTAAATAATAAAGATTTTAGAAACACATATCTTATTAATAATTGGTAATGTCTTTTTGGTCTGGTAATATCAGCTCCATCCATGATCATATGCATATTTTACAAGATTGGTATGATTATATCTCTTTCAGATTGTTGGTAAAGGAGCATTTGGGGTTGTGAGTAGAGCTAACTTCAGAGGGACTGATGTTGCTGTCAAGATAATCGAAACAGAATCTGAGAGAAAGGCCTTCATTACTGAGCTAAAACAACTGTCCAGAGTCAGCCATCCCAACATCGTGAAACTGTATGGAGCATGTACCAAGTCACCAGTAAGTACTCAAGCTGCTCATGTAATACATGTCCCTAGTGAGGATTCACAAGATCAGACTACCTGATCAGACTACCAGTACGGTCAGGCCGCGTTAGTCCGGACCCTTATAATCTGATTCCCGTGATATCCGAACGGTAGCTGGCTTTGTTTCTTGTTTGAGTGGCATTCTACAATCTTGTTTACTATGTACACTCATTACCTATTGGGGTCGGTGGGGTAGCCTGGTGGTTAAACTTCAATGGTAACTGATAAGTGTGGTGACACTTCTTAGTTGAACATGTCGTTAGTTTGTGATTTTAATCAATTAATAAGTCTCACTTGTGCGAACGCAACTGGCACCATCAAAATTAAGCCATTTGTCATCGCCAAATCCAGATGTCCCATATGTTTTGGAAGAGACTTTAACCAAGACATTTATGTTCATTATCTGTTCAACTACAACACGTGGATGACATCACACATGTTTTGTGATTGGCTGAGATCTTTTGACACTCAGATGCGATCATGTGGTCGACACTTGATCTTACTTTGTGACAACGCTGCTAGTCGCAAGTGTGCCAAGGTCAAATTGACCAACAGGAAAGTTATTTTCCTGCCTCCCAACACCACTGTCATTGGCGATTTCTTTAAACACGAGTGAGTTTCTGAGTTTTCATTGTTATGCAAACTGATATAAAGTCATTTGATACATGTACATGTGTATGTTCATATGTTCTAGTCTTGGTATGTCAAAGGGAAGTAACTCTACTGTAGTGGTGTACATATGGTTCATTTCAGTAGTCCATACGTTTCACAATCCGAAAGTTTTTGATGAAAAACGGAAGTGTTCAGATTAACACGCCCTGACTGTACATTATGCTTGTCCCCAGTGATGATTCCAGGTCAGAACAGATTCCCAGTACACTATGTTTGTCCCCAGTGATGATTCCCAGAACAGACTCCCAGTACACTATGTGTGTCCCCAGTGATGATTCCCAGAACAGACTCCCATTACACTATGTGTGTCCCCAGTGATGATTCCCAGAACAGACTCCCAGTACACTATGTGTGTCCCCAGTGATGATTCCCAGAACAGACTCCCAGTACACTATGTGTGTCCCCAGTGATGATTCCCAGAACAGACTCCCAGTACACTATGTGTGTCCCCAGTGATGATTCCCAGAACAGACTCCCAGTACACTATGTGTGTCCCCAGTGATGATTCCCAGAACAGACTCCCAGTACACTATGTGTGTCCCCAGTGATGATTCCCAGAACAGACTCCCAGTACACTATGTGTGTCCCCAGTGATGATTCCCAGAACAGACTCCCAGTACACTATGTTTGTCCCCAGTGATGATTCCCAGAACAGATTCCCAGTACACTATGCTTGTCCCCAGTGATGATTCCCAGAACAGATTCCCAGTAAACCTATGTTTGTCCCCAGTGATGATTCCCAGAACAGACTCCCAGTACACTATGTGTGTCCCCAGTGATGATTCCCAGAACAGACTCCCATTACACTATGTGTGTCCCCAGTGATGATTCCCAGAACAGACTCCCAGTACACTATGTGTGTCCCCAGTGATGATTCCTGATCAGAACAGACTCGAACAGTTTCAGTGCTGTTCCATAGAATATGATCTGACTGTTGGAGGAGATTTCATGTTGTTTATGCGACGTCTATGACCAATTCATTGTTAACTGGATAATTTATCATTCATTTGTGCCTAGTTTTCAGACACCCAAACTTTTTTTGTAGAATTTACTTGAATTTGAAGCTTTTCATGCAGAATTCAATACACCGTTAGTTTTAGACAGGTGTATGATAGGTCTTGGCTGCTCTTGTAGGACTCTAAATATATCTGCAATCATTATCATGAGAAAAGCAGAAAATATGGATGTAGCAAGTTTTGTTGTCATGGTGGGAGTATTATACTGACACGTCTACATCAATGTATCACATAAAACTACAGTACTGAATCTTGCTAACTTGGGTTATCTGGCGGCTCTTATGAAGGAATATTTCTGTGACCACATTGTTGTCCGTTTAATTATTAATAATAACATTTATGGTTCTTACGATTGGTTGTTATTTTGCAGGTCTGTCTTGTTATGGAGTATGCAGAGGGCGGGTCTCTCTACAATGGTATGTTACGTTTATTACAGTTTATAAAACTATCTGACTGACCAATTACAGTTTTGTAAAGCAACAGCTTGGTGGCCTGTATGGATGTTATAGAGTGAGGTTTCGGGGTTCTTTTTCAGTACCTGCACCATGTGCAACCTGGCTTATAGGTTTGGCTGCACCATCAAAATGTTGGCTGCACCATGAAATAATATCACTGGTTCTAAAAAAGTAACATAAATACTTGTTTAGCTATTTTCATACCAACTACTCAGTATGAGATACATTCATCAGAACCTAACCCCATGATGATAAATGATGAATGATTTGTTTCAATTTTGCCTTACCTTTATTCATAAATCTCACTTATATGATACTTCTACATAACTGATTTATGAGTACATAAATGTTTCTGCTTGTAACAAGTCATCTGAGAGAAACATATTACTTCAAGTCACTTACTTCTCAATTAGAACACAGCTGTACGATGTTGGATGATTTATTGTTTCCTGCACTGGGTACAACCTGTTACATCCTAACCTGCACCAGCCATTTTTAGCATGCACCAGTGTATGTTAATAGTGAAATCACACCATGTGTTATGGCAATGTTTGGCTTCATCACTTGATCTTGTTCCTGTGTTTTCAGTTACCACACTGAAAGTCTAATGGTGGTTACAAGACACGTGTTATTACTCTTTCAATTCAAATGTCTAATGTAATTATTTACATGTGTTCCTGGAAGTATAGACAGGATCATTTGTTGAATGCTTGTGTGCACCTCTCAATCTTCGGTGTTATTCAGTATGGGGAAGTATATGTATCATTATATTGTTGTGTAAATAGATATCACATTTATGCTGATCCAACCAAAATCGTAATTGGAAAATAGAACAAATAGCAAGCAAGTTACTCTTGTTGTCAAATAAAATAACAGATTATTGTTATTATTTGATAACAACAACAACCTGATATTGTGGTGGTTCTTTCTTGACCATCTATTCCACTGAAGTTTGGCTTCGGATCAATACGATAATTTATGATTGACTGGTTGGAACAAATTGATTATGTGATCAATGACGAAGTTGAAGACTTGTATACTGAGTGTATGTTCTGTTTCAGTGCTACATGGCTCAGGTCGCCAGCCCAGCTACACGAGTGCCCATGCTATGAGTTGGGCCGTACAGTGTGCCCGTGTGTAGCATACTTACATAACATGAAGCCCAAGGCTCTAATACACAGAGATCTCAAACCACCAAAGTAAGTGACAGTGATTTATTGGGTATGCATGTTCGACAAAGAAATGACATATGTGTTACAATTGGTAGTATGCAATTGTCTAAAGGGTTCATGAGTTATTGAGTTATGTACAGTAAAAGCTGTAAAACCAGATTCCATTAATCATGTTGTTTCAGAGATATAGTGATTCTGAAAAACATGCATGCAGGCCTAATGTGGAAAATTCTGCTAATCTCAAACCCAGCAAATCCAAAAATCGTGTTTCTAAGTTACTAGTGAACCTCTCTAAACTTTCACCAGGCAATACCATGATTACTTCTTACCTACGGGGGTGGGTAGCCTAGTGGCAAAAGTGTTTGCTCGTCACGCCAAAGACCTGGGTTGGAACCCCCCACAATGGTACAATGTGTGAAGTCAATTTCTGGTGTCCCTGCTGTGATATTGCTGGAATATTGCTAAAAGCGACATAAAACTAAACTCACTCACTTCTTACCTGCCTAAATAAGGATGCCTTCATCCACAAATTATACTGCACAATTCTACTGTCTTGATTAACTGGGTTGGAATGTATTACATTATTGTGATAAAGTCTTTTTGACATCTATATTTGTAATGTTTGATGGAAATCTAATTTGTGAACTTTCTTTCTGTCTGCAGTCTCTTGTTGATTATGGGTGGCACTGTGCTGAAAATATGTGATTTTGGCACAGCCTGTGATATCCAGACGCACATGACCAACAACAAGGGAAGTGCGGCTTGGATGGCGCCGGAGGTGTTTGAAGGTGAGCTGGGGATGATGGACAGACCCAACCTGCAGAAAGTCTTCTATACTGTTTAAAGTATATGTATTGAGATTGAAGTCCAAAATGTACTTTAAAAAGTTCTCCATCTACTGATCAAACTGTTTTGATGTTTGTGACAAGACTTTGAACAGTTGTTGTTTTCCCCAGGGTGCAACTACAGTGAGAAGTGTGATGTGTTCAGCTGGGGTATCATTCTGTGGGAGGTGATCACGAGGCGGAAACCCTTTGATGAGATAGGAGGACCCGCATTCAGGATCATGTGGGCTGTTCACAATGGTGAGTGAGGTTACATTTATTTTGTAGATTATAAAATAACAGGCTAAGCAGGTGTATACCTTGGCAGCAACTTTAAAAAATGAGGAGCGAGTTTGTAGAATGTTGATGTGAGACTGCTGACATTAAACCCAACGCTGGGAACCACTGGCCTTTCCAGCTTGGACCAAGTGGTTGGCAACATGTTACATTTGTAATAATGCCTACTTTTATGTTCTAGGTAAAAGGCCACCTCCAATAAGAAATATACCCAAACCATTGGATATACTGATGCAAAGGTATGTAGCAGATACTATTGTTGTGGACAGAAATGTGACTGATACACTGTAAAATATCATTAACACCATGTCCACATTTAATAAATATACTTCTCAAAATAAGTTAAGGACCTCCCTCTTTCATATCACCGGTTCTTTTCATTAACTTCAGTAACATTGAGTAGTATGAAAAACAAATCATCAATATAATCCTATATTGAATACAGACCATTTAGAAAGTGGTCAAATGTAACATGTTATATTTGGGATTACACTTTCTCAGTAAAGTACAGATTCTAGTACTTTTGTTGGGTTGAGGCCCACCCGGGATTCGAACCCACACCCTCAGAGTCAGGCACCTTATTGCCAGTACACATGTAATCCTATGCGCATTAACATGGTATTCACTGAATGTGCCACTCTTTTCATTTTGCACAGTTCACTTGAGTGAGTCAGTTAGATTTAACTCTTTAACTCACGATATTTTTGTGAGTGGCTACCAACAGTTGTTTTTGTGTCATGACATTTTTGCGACTTGGCTAACTCTCAAAAATAAATTGCAACTGAAAGTTCTACCTAAAGTAAATCCAATCACATGTTAAAGGTTGCTGCTAATCTTGAACTGAGCTCAGTAGAGTACTTCCGTGTGTTTCCTGAAAACAACACACGCTTTATAGGCCAGATAAGCTTAAGACAGTTCAAGGGGATTATTATCCCCCGCCATGCGTTTAGCTCGAAGCGGGGGATGTAGTATTAGGTTCCGTCCGTCCGTCCGTACGCGTACAAATTGGAATATCTTAAGAACCGTTCACTAGATTCTTTTCATATTTGGTACCTAGGTTCATCACAGTATAAGAAAGGTCCAAATCAGGTTTGGTGACCTTGACCTTCATTTCAAGGTCACAAGGGGACTTTAACGTTTTACCTGCATGTTAAGCTATCTCAAGAACCGTTAACTGGATTTTCTTCATATTTGACACCAAGCTTTATCTAGGGAAGGCGCAGGGCCCAGTCAATTTTGGTGACCTTCACTTAATTTTCAAGGTCACAGAGACATTTTGAAGATTTCAACATATTAACCTGCATGTTATGCTTGTCAGTGAGATACCTCAAGAACCATTCGCTCTTATTTTCTTCATATTTGACACCAAGCTTCATCCAGGGAAGGCGCAGGGCCCAGTCAAGTTTGGTGACCTGCACATAATTTTCAGGGTCATGGGGACACTTTGAAGATTTCAGCTTGTTAACCTGAATTGTCAGCAAGATATTTCAAAAACGATTCACTGGATTTTCTTCATAGACTTTCAAGACTTCCCTTGAATGTTTTTCAATAAGCAATTTCTTTATTACTATTTGTGCATATTTCATACACTATGACATTCATGTCAAGGTCAAAGTCAGTCTTGAAAACGTGTGTGTTTGAACAACTAAAGAGCAAGATATCAAGAGAGGTTGACTGGTCATGTTTTTGTTGACATTTAACTTCGTCTTAAAATTGTTGACAATGACATCACCAAAGCTGTTGATCTCCGGATGAGTGTGATGAAACCTATCCACTCCTGTTGGATGGTGTTAGCCTATCAGTCTCTAAAGACAAAGAATGTGTGTTGAGTGGTTGGCCCCTGTCTGGCCTATTACACATACTGATTGAGTAACTTTTGTTCGAGTATCCCTTGTTTGACATGCGAGTACTAGTAATGCTAGTGATCAGTCTTCCCCAAGTTGTTTTCATTGCTTAATTGATGTATTGTCTAGATCTGTTGTTGATTATATGAACTGGTGAATAATCAAGAGATAATGAGAAACGTTACTTGTTGATTGTTTATTTCGTTTGACCAGGAACTTGTGTCATGATATTTTGGCGAGCTCAAGTCATTTGCAATTTTCGGAAAAATATCATGTTCGCAAAAAATTTGTGGTTCACAGTATTTGAACACACGATCATTGGTTGCATACACATCTGACAGATGTAGCTTTATCCACGATTTTAGGGTTTAGGTTGAACTGGCTCCTTGTACTCCATTTTTCTTATAGATGGTATTGTTTCTTAATCTACATGTATTGAACTCAGATGCTGGTCAGGGAACCCGACTGAGAGACCTTCCATGACCGAGGTGGACCGAGTGATGACCCACCTGTTTCAGGTAAGTTCCTGCTGGATCTAGTACCTGGAGATCATTACAGGAAGGGAATGTTGGATGTTAAAGAGAGGAATGAATGTGATTTAGTGCTTAAACCTTGATATGGACCCCGGGGAGATGAGTCTCCAACACCACTTGCTTGCCATGAGGACCCACTAACATGAGGAGTGGATGGTATGTAAATTACATCTACAGTGTGATTTAAACATATTTATTTCATGAAAAGACAACAACAAAATATTCATGAATTGGATTGGTCAACAAGCTCAAAAGAACTTATATGAAAACTGCTCTAATATACATAGATATGAAACAGTATCATCACAAGAAAAATGATATCTATTGAAAATAGATGTTATGACATATAGTCAAAAAATTAAGATCATGATGGTTGTATACATTTATGGCATTTGCAGTCGGGGTCAGTAGTAGAATAATTTTGAGAATTATAGGTTGTAGCATATGATTTTCTAAGTTAAAATGTCTAGTTCAATTATAAATTGATTGACTGATTTTAAGATATCGGATTGAGTTTGTGGGTTCATGGAAGACGTTCCATATAAGATTGTTTCTAATGAAAAGTCATTATTATAATAAAATTTATTTGCTCTTATAGCATCAAATCTGGAACATGCAAAGAGGTAATGACGTGCATCTTCAGTAGGGTGGCCACACAAACAATCTGCTTTCTCTGATATATGTCTGTTGTGTTTGTCAGCGTTGAGACAGTGTTCATTATCGAAAGCCTTGGTATGGTTACATTTTGTAATAAATTGCTGTATCAGGGTTAATATGGTCACACTGGAAGTCCTATTATGAGTGTGAGCCCTCAAAGCTCACAAGTAATTGGAGAGATACAGAAATTATTTTGTAAAATGAGAAACAAATACAAAGCTTCATGTAGAAAATTCAAATCTAACCTGCGTAATCAAAGATTGAACAGAATGATTCTATCCACAATCCTGCTATGTTCTGGAAACAAATTCGTTCATTTAAAAAGAGATCAAATCCTAAAAGTAATATTTCCAAATGTGAATGGATGACACATTTCAAGACAGTTTTTTCTAATGATGCTGTTTTTCCAACCGATGGTTATTCCTTCAATGATGATATTATCTCTTCGAATGACTATGACACTGTTGATCAAATGATTTTGGAAACACAAATTTCAGTAGATGAGATAAAGAATGCTTTAAATAACTTAAAGAGCGGAAAAGCAGCTGGTCCCGACAATATTATAATCGAAATGATTAAATGTTCTCAAATCGAAGTTAATGCCCTTCCTCCATAAGTGTTTTAAAACTGTATTTGAAAGTGGTTCGCTTCCAGAAAGCTGGTCTCGTTCAATTATCGTCCCTATACATAAAAAGGGGGCTCAAGACAGTCCAGATAATTACAGAGGCATATCTTTAATGAGTGTTATTGGGAAAATATTTACAACTGTTTTAAACAACAGAATCTCAAACTGGTCAAATCTAAGAAACTTAATTCCTGAATGTCAGGCGGCTTTTAGAAAAGATTATTCAACTACTGACCATATCTTTACACTATATGCAATAATACAAAAGTGTCTATCGCGTAATAAGCACAAACTTTATGCAGCATTTGTTGACTTTAAGAAAGCTTTTGACTCTGTGGATCATTATAAATTATGGCACTGCTTACGAAAGTCTGGTTTACAAGGGAAAATGTATATATATCGGATATCTACCGCATTCTCCATAAACCATACAAGTTGGTGCTGCTCGCGCTACATTTAAAAATCTTAAAAGGTGTAGTTTCTCTAGACATTCATGACGTTGAAATCCCCAAATTTCAGACCCATAAAGCATAATCGGTTGGATTTGTGCATCAAACAATTTAAAATATTTTTTTGGGGTTAAAATTCCAAAATTCTGGGAAACTGACATAAAATTAATAAGAGCCTTCTTAGCACGTGATTTCAGGTCTATAACACTCTTTTTACAGTTCATGGTATGGGAAAACAAAAGTCCAAGATAGGTATACTGATTAACAATAGATAAATTTTTGCCACTCAAAAAACATTTTTCTTTAGAGGCGACAGGCCCACCTCTTCTAAAGATAACTATGTTTGTTTTTTCAAAATTAACAAATAATTTCCATTCATTTGTATAGCGTTCCCAAATATTCAGTTGGTTTTGTAGACCGACGATAGTATCTGACACTAAAATTACATCATCGGCAAAAAGGAGGATAAAAATTTCAATCATATCTGGAAACATTTGCACACCATGTTTACCTGAACTAGAAATATCATAATACAGTTGGCTTAGAAAGAAGGAAAACAATACAGGGCTTAAAATACACCCTTGCCGAACTCCCATGGGACAGGCGAAAAAATCGGTGACATCATCACCACAACAAACACATGATTTAATATTCAAGTACATAGATTTTAAAATAGAATAAATTCACAAATCAGATGTTTAAAATATTGGTTAAAGATCCTGTGAATGCACGAACAAAGAATCCCCAAACTAGCTTATAACATGCTTGTACATTTAGATGATAGGGGTAAGACAACATGGGCTTCTCATATTAGAATTCTTTTTTATTTTCTCATGGCTTTGGATTTGTGTGGCTAACTTAAACAGTTGGTAATATTAATCTATTTCTTAAGCAATTTCGAGAACAATCTGTTAGCATGTATTATCAAGAATGGCATTCCTGTCTAGACAATAGTTCAAGATATCAGTTGTATAGATCACATAAGAGCTTAATTCAACCATCTATTGACATCTAGAAATATCAGACGCACACTTGTCAATTTTCGATTGGGCTTGTTAGATTTATCAGTAAATAAGGGCAGACGATTTTCAATAGAGAGACGCTTAAGGATATGCCCATTATGTAACTCGGCTATAGAAGATGAAATTCACCTCGCTTTTGTATGCCCACATTATGCTGATTTAAGACAAAAATATATCCCAAATAAATACCTGTTAAAATATCCTTCATCTGCCTCTGCTTCCATTCTATCCTCCAAAAATGAAAATGTAATGCGTAATCTTGCGCTTTATGTAAAACATGCTGTTTTCCTTAGAAGCAATATCTTATCTGAACTGTAATTTCTTTGTGAAATGTCTGTAACATGTGCTGTATATATACTTGTATTACTTGTATATGGGCTGGAGGCCTTAAGTACAATAAATATCTTTGACTTTGACTTTGAGTAATCACGACGTACCATTCCCTAATCATAATGACTACTCGTTAAATATCGAAAAACTTAGAAAAAATTCCATGTGAGAAACACTTCAAAGAAACAAACTATACTGTGACCCACCTGGCAGGGTGACAGCGTTATGTAACGCACGGGCGGTGGATGTCAGGGACCGTCTCAAAATATAAGTGTCAGTATCACTGCTGGTCGAGGACTCTAGCGGAATTACAAAACAGGTGCAACTTGGCTGACGTTAACTCCGTCCCACAGACGGTATTCGTCCTCGATTTTGAGAACACAGTCTTCAGCCTTTTGCCACACTTCTGGGGTAATTCACGCAAAAGAAGCATACACAAGCTCTTTAACGTCTGAAAGCTTGTATCGTAGGCACTTTGGCGGGATATGGGTTTTATTGGGAAATATAGACATGTTTGTATATTCTTTGAGTTAAGTTAAAGTTGTGTTATCTAAATCTAAATCACAGTGCTGACAATATAAATGAAATACCAGCAGCTTATTATCATGACCATCATCACAGCCATGTACTGATCAGCTGCCTGCGTGTAATTAACCTTAATTAACCTTAGAGTATGGCCGGTTGGCCACGGAAGTTTAACATTGTGGATGAGGTGCTGGATACTGCAGGTTGACCATACATGTATCGTAATATGATACAGTGCAGCCTGACAGTCAGTAGTATATAGACAATGAATTCTTAATGTAAGGGGACTTGACCCTCGGACAGCGGCTAGGCAGGTGGGCTGACGATCGCCTCTGTGATGCTGCCTGGCCGTTGCTGCACTATGATGTAATTGCATACTTAGCTGCCGAATAAAGTGTTGTGGACCCACTGATGGACTTCAGTGTTTGAAGAGACGATATCCTAAAAACCTATTAACCAGCCCGGGATACTTGAATTTGGTATTATTGCGAGCAAATTCTTACAGTTACTCCAAGATCAGCTCGATGGGATTGAGCTCACAGTGCAGTACTGGTGTACGCAGAACTATGTGGCCTTGTTTTGCAGCTAGTTCGTCAGTGATGTACTGGATTGGCTTCTTGTGCTGCCGGACTTTTTCCATGAGCTTGGGCTTTGTTTCTGATTGCCTGTAAGGCACGTTACAGGAAGTGAGAATGTCCTGCAACTGAGCCTTGAGATTGCTCATGGTGGGTGTGATGGTACCAGGGACACGCAGGTTATGGTAACTGGCGTTATCCAAAATGATAACGCTTGGTTCGTCTAGCTGCGGTAAAAGCTGATGTTCGAACCAATCCAAAAATACCTGCCCATTCATTTCACTGTGGTAATCACCATCAGATTTCTTGGCCTCAAAAACAAAGTCACAACCCCCAATCAGTTCCTTGCTATGGGTACCAGCATGCAAGATGATCAGGCGTCTACGTTTGCCTGATGGTATCACTGGTGCCTTAGAACAATCTGAAGGAAACCACATCTGATCGGTTGAGTGATTTTTATTACACAAGGTTTCATCAAGGTATATGATTTGAAACCCCAAATTGCGGTATTCTTCAACTGTTCTGAGATAAGCTGATCGCATGGACAGGATTGTGTACTTTTCTCTAAACACAGCTCTGTCATCTCCCCTTTTGGTGTACCTGAACTCCATTTCTACCAGAGCTACAATAAGTGTTGTTTTCGAGACATTTATTGTATCTTTGATCTCATCTTCTATTTTAGCACACATCGGTGGGATTTTGTGTTCATACAGTTTATAAACTGCATGCATGGCATATGACACCCTTATCAAAGCTATCCAGTTTGTGTTTCCTACCTGGTTTTGATTTTGACACGACCCCTGAGGTAACTGATTTGTTTACAACTTTGTAAACCTGACTATATGTCAAATTAAGGGTTTTACACATTCTATAGTAAACCCTGTCATAGCTGACGAGATGTTTCCCCCTTTGTTTCTCCAGTATGAAATACTGGTATAAATTTGAAATTAATTGTTCTGCGGAGATATCAAGTTGCATGTTGCCAGTTCAATGCTCATACACGAAGTGAAACTTCTATGGGTCAACAAGATTATCTATGCGACTTGAATTAAGACTTTTTTACATAATTTTTTTGAATATAACTACTACAAGAGTTCCATCTTTTTCACACATAGATGTTAAAACACCCCCCCCCCCCCCCCCCCAAACTTTTACAATCATTAATGTAATTTAATTAGTTGAGGCTATATGAATAATTATAGTCTATTTCAAAACTACAGTTTGTACTTAGATTATTTACGAATGTTGTTAAAACGTCAAAATTTCCTCCTGTGAAGTCACCCCTCAAGTGCATTTTTTCATCTGAGCTTTAATATCCAACTAGGTAGAGTCGTACATGTTTCATATATGTGCTTTTATCTTGTGTCAAATTCATCATATTGATATTGAAGCCAAAAAGCATTTTCCAATCATTTCTGGCCTTACTTTAGGCTACCCCACTGCCCCAGAAGAATGTAAAGAAAATTTGGTGTATTCCATCCTTTTTATCAAAGAGAGTAACAGTAAATTCATGCATTGTTGTACTGATTCTTAACAATGTAAACATTTCAGTCCATTAAAACAACACTCATATTGTTATTTCAGTTTTTCCGAGGTGCTGAAGAACCATTGTTATATCCCCAAGCCAGTGATTCGGATGAGGAGTTGTTTCCCAGCAGTGGTAGGTGCTTATACTATAGCGGAATATGTCCCCAGTGCCCCATACTTGGTTTTTGAGTCAGTGAGTGGATGACATAATTCCATTATGTCACCTGGCTGATTGAACCCATGAAGATTCGGGTTAGAATTGATCTTCAGCAACCCATTCTTGTCGTAGGAGGCGACTGACGGGACCGGTTGGTGAGTCTCACTGACTTGGTTGACACATCATCAAATCCCCATTGCGTAGATCGATGCTCATGCTGTTGATCACTGGATGGTCTGGTCACACAAACCTGGCTGATTGTGTGTCATTGTACCCTGAGAGTATGGAAAATTACACACTGACCAAACTGTTCAGCTCAGACTTACTTTTTTAGAAGTTGCAGTGATGCCACTCACTGGATTGTTTGGTCAAGACTCAACGTCATGTACCTGTAATATAACTGAGTGGAGCATTTAACAAACAGACAATCCAGCTTTTGGATGAAAGACTCTGGTCTCTTACTGAAAGCTATGTACATATACCAGTATCTTTGTGACATTCACTTAATGACATGTGCTTAATCATAATGAAGAAAGTGTCATCTTAACACTGGTTTTGTTTTTATGCCTTTGATGTTTTCAGCACTATGATTGGCGAAATCAATGATTTTTGTTACAGCACCTATGACACCGCCAATCACATTCTCCAATACGCCTCCCAGCACGGTGCACTCCCATTCAGTGTCGCCCCCTACCAGCGAGTCGAGAGCAGTCACAAATAGCGATACTGTCAAGTTTGGTTCTGACCGCCCTGACCATGTGCCTCTCTTCCTTCCAAGCATGGCCAGACATGCCCCCATTGTTGTGGAGGTATTATACATTTCTTCCCGAAAATCTGCTTATATTTTGGATATTTGCTGACATGGGATACTGTAAACGTATTATATATTACGCAGGTTTTATTTTCGGGCTTTTCGTGCAAAATATTTTGTACCGCGAGAATTTATATACAGCAAATAAACCTTTCATTCATTCACTCAAGTTTGAAGACAGAAATCTATGGGAATCTTAAAATGATGGCTGATAGTAGCATAAAGAATCATACTAAACTGTCGCTGTAATGGATTTCCCAAATCATGTCCCGACATGTTCTATTTTGACCAATCGTAGTGACAGATGGTTTGATACAAAACGGATTAACATGAAACGACTTGGAAAGAAATAATACAGCTGTATTTTATTTATTCATTAAGATTTTATTTGTATTTATTCCTGCATATCACGAAATGAAATCACAAAGTCTGGAAGTCCAGGTGTCTTAGGGGTAGGTGCTTTCTTTAACCACATTCGCAATGCCATCGTCAGATCGTCAGAATTCCGAAACATAAGACTGATGTGTTTTTCATCTTTTTATATAGTATACTAGTACCATCATGATATCTCACTTCCTAAGTACTTAATACTTCCTTGAGTAAACATATTACTGTATATATGTGCAAGTACGGACTTCCTGTGTTTTCATTGATATTAGTGGCGGCCTAAGAGACAGCTGGCAGATCAGGCAATTACTGATTGCGCGAATAATTGACTGCGCGATGTAGTCTAAACTGTCAATTCTGCGAAATTTGTACCAAGCGAAAAAAAGTACGTTTACAGTATTTACCAAATCTCAACTGAATCCTTGGGACCGCTGCCCAAATGATATAGCTTTGAGAAAAGTTGCCATCACTATTAACAGCATGCAGTATATGTTTGGAATTATTTTTCGTGCAGTTTATTTATAAACTTCAAAATATACAGCCAAAGGAGTATTAAAATATTCAGTGACAAGTTTGTGTCGATGACTTACTTAAGACAGGTAAACATAGAAATTACTTTGTGAATCTTAGTGACCTACAGCCATGGCCAACTTCACTACCTCCAGAACTGCTCTCTGAACTGCATGTCTGGTGGAATGTTGGGACTGATGGTAGATTTTAAAATGTCATTTTCATTCATGAATTATATTTCTTTTCCATTTCAATGTAGTCGGCCAAATCAACTTGTCCATAATGAGTGACGCATTCCACAGTGACCTCTAACCTTCCATGAAATGTCAAATTATTGTTTTGATTTTTTACTTCTGTTAATTGATTCACATGATCCCTGCAGTAGGAAAAGACTTATTTCATATAGGATATTTATATGAATATCCCATGCACTTGTGGTGGTGCAACCTGACAATAAAGTGTACCTGCTCTAGCAAGATATGACTGTCGCTGGTGCAGTCAGTCCCTTGTTTTCTGGGATCAAGATGTCAAGCAAATTCATCCAGAGCATATATGTATGATATACTTGTATGCAAGGCTCGTTTAAACGGGGCTCAAAACGTGATTCACTCGTTGATCTAATTTCAGGAGGAGAGACACCGAGGCCAGCAGAGTGCACCCCCATCCCTGGCTGCCAGTCGAGAAAGTCTCCATGACCCCCGTGGGTCAAGGTCAGGGACACCTGTTGACCATTACAAGCGGTATTCAGCTGATTTGAGCAAACTGGATGAGTATGACATCTCATCTCAACAGCGGAACCAGGCTACCAACCCACAGAGAGGTGACTGAAAGATTATATACTTTTTTCAGCGAATATTCCATTTTTATCTATTTTGAAAGTCATTGGATCATTTGGGATTGCTAAACCTTAAAAGAACCGTTTGTTTTGTAGCTATTTGGAAATTTAATCTCATATGTAGTTTTTCTCAAACCTTTTCATTTCACAAGTAATTTGTAAAAGTGTATTAGTTTTGACTTGAAGTTTTGTAGTGGCCTCGTATTTGGTTTCTGCTCTAGTACAAGTATGTTATATGACAGAAATAAGGTTCCTCTGTTAGTGTGCTCAACTGCCCGGGATGTATATTTGGCCCAAGCTGTTGGTTAGATGCAGGAAGGTTTGCATCACTATCCATCTGGGAATCTGATCCAGAGGTGAAATCTTTCCATTAGCCAAGAATATGACAGGATTTCCATCCAAAACAAATCAGGGAAGAAATAGTGTTGCAAGTATTCAGATGTAGATTATGTTGTAAGGCCTGTAATTGTGGTAATGGATGCCACAACAGTGTCAAGTTAGCCTTACTGACAGCTTCATGTTTATGTGTGTTGTGACAATTCTACAAGTATTATTCAATACTTCTGCATTCGTGTGAAGGAGGTAATATGCGATCATAGTGAAACCCTTTACAGTATCATCATTCTTTAGTTTTTAGTTTTAATTTTTTGTTTACTTGTGGCTGCTTGTTTGTTTAAGCATTTTATTTGGACACATGTGTAGCTCAGAATAATCTTCACAATAACTACACCTGCATGAGAAAATGCATTCCTTGTAGAGGAAGCATTTTGTACACATCTATCATTTTGGCCTCACAACCAGTTTGGATGCTTCATCAGAAAGTAATGAATAGCTGATCCTTTTTCAGAAATGATTTTCCATGTCAACTGAATGATAAACATCACAACATAGGTTTGGGACATACAATATAATGATTCAAAAGAATATCATAATGTAATTGAGCTTTGCTATTCTTCAGGAGAATTTGGGTAGGGGAGGTAACTCTGGTCAGTTGACAAGGGTTTCAGATATCCTGAAACTGGTTTATCTACACAATATTCAGAAAGGAGAGTGTCGAATAAGCAAGGTTATTATAATAATGTATGTGGATGACATTGTTGTTAAACAAACTTAAAAGTACCCCAACTTTTCACTACAACTACAAGTAGGATATGGATGTAGACATGATGATATTTCCCGAAAACTGTTTACTGGGTTTAAGACAGAGTCACACGTGAAATGTCTGGTTGCTTATATACACGTGTATATATTATCTCATCTGTATTCGCACAATGTAATGCTTGCTCTTCTCAAGGTACCTGCTAGAGCATAGAGTTACTGGAAATATTGAACTGCATCTGTTACTGGTTCAGTGTATTGCAGAAATAACAACTTTGGTGTGGGGGAGTAAAAAATGTTTTTCTTCTGAATTACTTTTAGGCCTTGTAAACACTAAATACATTCATTCTTAACTGAATGAAAATTTACCAGCTAAAAACATTCATTCATGATGGAACGTTGTTGAAGACATTGCAGCCATTCCAGTACATAGATGCCTCTGGCAAGTAGCTTCTCTCTCGCTGTGTGACGTGTGCGAGTGTGTGGCATGTGCTGTTGTTGACATCATCGTTTAATTCCCATGCATCTCGTACTACCAGTGCTAGGTCACCGCCGATCGGGGTCGCATGGCACCCCTGCCAACTTCGCTACAGCTGGCATCACCTTTAATCAGACAAACCAAGCAGGTGAGGATACTGAAGAAATGATTGTCATGGTAGCAGGCTTGTCCAACAACATCTGCCGTAGGAGATGATAGCAATACAACTTCCTCATACTGCTATGCACAGTGTAATTCCTCTCAGTGTGTAGTCAAATACCCTGCTCTGCTCCCTGGGGAATATACAGCCCAAGCTATCGGTTAGATCCGTGAAGGTTTGCATCGTTATCTGCTATGAATCTGGTCCAGGAGGGAAACCTTTCCATTAACAGAGGGGCGGTGGGGTAGCCTAGTGGTTAAAGCGTTTGCTTGTCACGCCGAAGACCCGGGTTTGATTCCCCACATGGGTACAATGTGTGAAGCCCATTTCTGGTGTCTCCAGCCGGGATATTGCTGGAATATTGCTAAAATCGGCGTAAAACCATACTCACTCACTCACACCATTAACAGAAATCTGGTTGAATTTGAAACCTTTCTTTAAAAGAATCTCCGAGGAATTTCAGATTGTATTGTGCCTTTAGTCTCAACATGGACCAGTTTTAATGTCTTAACCTTAGGTGGACAATACCATGCTGCTCGAGTAATCTTGACACAACAGCTTCAGGGGGTGAAGAATTTGATATAGCAGAAGTAGGCAAAGGATATGCTCAGTCTTTTGGGTAGTAGGGAACCATTGTTTGGACCATTAATTTGCCTTGAATAGACGTGTATTATCTAACACTGTTATGCTCTGACTTGGCATGCTGTTCTGTCAGTAAACAAACACAATATTTGCCTGCTAATGCAATCAGTACAACACTGTCCAAAACTTGTTCTTGTAACCCATCAATTCTGAGAGTGTTTTTAGTGCATATTCTTACTCTAATCCTCAGTATTTATACCCATTTTGTTTGTGCATGTGTTTGGCATGATGTTGCTGATGTGTTATGTTGGTTCTAATGGATTGTGTTTATTGTAGACTGAAACCATCCTGTCTTTACAAAGTCATACGCTTGAAGCGATTCAAATTGAACTTAGACTAGTCTAGGGAAAATAATGAAAGTGCTTGAAAGTTGTATTTTCATGATTTCAAACATTAAAAAATCCTTTTAAATTGTTGAAATGAAAGAAAATACTTTTAACTATAGTCTAGGTCACAATTACTAAATTTTGAAATAATTAAAAGAGATTCATTCTGCATAATGCTGCATATATTCTAATGCCCTTTTCATGTAAGTTTCAAAGGAAACCGTTTCCTAATGAGATGCTTGTAAACATTTAGAAATACTCAGACACTATTTTTAATATTTAGCCAAATTATAAACTAACTATCTGAACATGTTGAAGTAGGATTCCAGGAGAATTGTGATTTAATGTGTGTGATTTCCTCCTCTCTCTCTCCATGCTGCTGGGACTATAGCACTAGGAAGGTTTGGTTCATTTGATGCACTCCTTCCTCCAGCTCGGCCTCCAAAACCTAGTTTCTTGCTCTCTCAAGGTATCAGCTGGTGCTGGCATTTTTTATTCCTTGTTTTTTGTCGCTTTTTTTAAAATCATTTTTAAAATGCATATATATAGATGTAATGTTAAAATTGTGAAGCATTGAAGATTATGGCTCTCTGTGATTGCACAGTGCTGTGACGAAGGTATTGAAATGAAAGGTTTGGGTTTCGGTATGGGGTGGTGGGTAGCAATGAGGTACAAAGTCACATGTAAGACTTGGTGCTGAAATAATTCTAAAATGGCACAAAAATCTCTACAAATTAATCATTGGATGTGTAGCAATTTGAATTTTCCACAGGAAAGAATAATGGAATGTAGAAGAATATTGTGTTGACAGTCATCCTTTTCACATATTAAATACTATTTCATGACAGTGTGAATGCTTGGTGGGGTATCATGCTTTGTACATACAGGACACTTTCAGCTGCTTGCAATGTGGGCACATCTTGCACTTACCTCTCCTCAGTCTCTACCGAGGAGAAATGTAACTTGTTTTATCGCCTGTGATTATTATGACAGTCTGTACATACATGTATATATATTTCCACTTTGTTTAAAATTCACCCATGTTGCACATTTTTCCCTCCATGTACGCCTGGGAGCAGGTCATCCAAGGTGGTGCTTGGCGGAGAATCCTCAATGCTTAATGCTGTTGATTGTATAACGTTTAACATGTTCAAAATGGAATTCAGTCCGTAAATATGTGTTAGGTAAGTTTCAGATGTAAGAGCTTAAGCTTCAGTTTTTTAAGGTGGTCGATATATATATGTCTGGTCAGATCCTGCTCTGAGATATCCATTACTAGTTCATGATGTATAAGCAATCAGTATGACACTGTCAGAAGGTTGGATAGTATGTGAGATGGAGCCCCTGCTTGCACATGCTGTTAAGTAAGTAGACTCTTATATGATGATCTCTCGTGCAATCACCTCTTGCTGGGGACAAGGGTGTCCATGTCTGGGGTGCTGCAATTTGCCCTGCAGAGTTGCTTCCCTTGGGAATACAAGGAACTGCTTGTGGGTTAATGTACCTGATGTTTCTTGGTTTATCAGCACCTTACCCCTGCTTGTTGGTTTCACCAACGTGGAGACCTGCATTAATTCATTCTGTCCTCGTACATTTAGCTGACACTGTGATGTAGCTGGAATACCGTTCAAGTGGCTTAAACCCAACTCACTCACTCTTGTTCAAGCTTCATTCATCAGCTTTCCATGTACACAATCTTAACAGTTGACAGTATGTATGTGTCAGTTTGCGAAATGCAAGCCCAAAGCAAATAATTATTTATTCATTTTTTTAAATAATTTATTCCTTACACTGTTAAGTCATAAATTGTCTCTGAAACAAAACTAAGCATTGTTAAAAGGAACTCTAAGGTTAAAACATTTGAAGCTAGTTGTTTGCATGGTGTGAATTGTAGATTTTAATTTTGTCATGTGTATGTGACAGGAGTCACAGCTATGGTCACAAGATTCACTCCTTCTATTGTATGTGACAGGAGTCACAGCTATGGTCACAAGATTCACTCCTTCTATTGTATGTGACAGGAGTCACAGCTATGGTCACAAGATTCACTCCTTCTATTGTAATGCATGAGTTTTAGCATGATTTCTCACTGTCTACAACAGTCTACTGCATGCTAGGCTGTATAACTAATTCACATGACAAATCATTGCCCATATGATTAAATTGTTCTAAATCCTTTTATCAGTTGAAACAATACTTTCCCATCCATATTGATGAGTACTGTTTCAAGTTGCACCTCAACACTGAACACGATCCTGGTTTATATTGAACCCCATCACCTTCCATCCAGGCCGAGGACACCGAAGAATTGGATCAGACGAGTACACTCACATCACAGGGACATCTAGCGCGTCCTCCACCCCCCGTACAGCCAGCCCTGCCCGCTTGCCGGCCACAGGGGTGACCCACTGCAGCACCTACCCTGGTCAGCTGAACCAGGTGGGGCAGAGCATGTCGCCACCCACACGTTCCATCTCGCACCAGCCGCCGCCCAGCTCGTCATGGACAGCGACTGAAACGCCAGGGCAGATGCCTACATCAGGTACATTTTGGTGATGGAGAATCACGATGATCCTCATCGTGGAGGTCTTTGAGGTACTGTGGGGTCACTCTCTGATTCTGACTGCCTCTTCCTTGATGATTGGTTGGTATTTAGATGGGTTAGTAATCTCTAGATTATGTCTTGGAGGAGTGCAGTGGCTGAGTGGTCTATACTACCCTGGACCTAGTATGATATCATTGTTTAGGGTTTGAATCTCATGTATGGCCTTACTTTGATCCTTGGTTCATTTGGCTTCACACATCTGAGCTTTGTAACTTTTTGCTATTAGCTTGACATGGAATTAATATAACTGAAATACGGTTCAAGGCTGCTAGAAACTATGGTCACTGGCACTGGCACATCGGCACCAGACTGCTGTCTTATGACTGGAATATTCTGACATAATAGGCCAGTACAATAGTCAGCCAGTGGTCAGTCATATGGTTTTAGTTACTTAGGAACTGCCACTAATGAGCAGGAGAATACTGCTTTTCCTGATCAGACTTATCACAGGGAAGATATTTCTTGGTATTGTATTATTTTGAGCAAGTAAGGCAGGAACATTACTCCAGAAATATAATGAGTTTCTGATGTTTTTTGTTATTGACTGACAAGAAGGTAAGTTATTTTTCCCTTTATGATGTTTTATGATGCAGTTGATCTCTAACTACGTGAAAGTATTTATGTCACAAACAGTAACGGAGAAAGGAATTGTTCTTTCATCATCCGCAGTGTTTAGGCATGAATAATAGTTTGAAACTAGAAAGTTTCAGGAAAATGTTTTGACAGGTGTGAATCAGCATGTTGAACCAAGCTATCCTGAGGCTGGTTGGATTTAATCCTGATACAGCAATATTTATCTCTTAGTGCTGTCCTTTAAATGTCTTGACATAACTTCTCTTGTGACAACACTGAGGGATCTGTAATACTTGAAGCTCCCTATATAGAATTGCTTTTCTTTAGATTATATGAACTTTATTTCATGTTAGTCAAGACATCATTACACAACTGAGATGTGCCATTTGTGGAATATATTTCAAGATGTAACAAATTCATCAAGCTATTCTCATATTCCAGTAGGTGTTATTTGTTTCAAACAGCAGGGGCGGTGGGGTAGCCTTGTAGTTAAAGCGTTCGCTCGTCACGCTGAAGTGAGTGAGTGAGCTAGTTTAGTTTTACGCTGCACTCAGCAATATTCCAGCTATATGGTGGCGGTCTGTACATAATCGAGTCTGGACCAGACAATCCAGGGATAAAAAGCATGAACAGTGGTCTACGCAATTGGGATACGATGACATGTGTCAACCCAGTCACCAAGCCTGACCACCCGATCCCGTTAGTCGCCTCTTACGACAAGCATGGGTTACTGAAGATCAATTCTAACCCGGACCTTCATGGGTCATCACGCTGAAGACCTGGGTTCAATTCCCCACGTGGGTACAGTGTATGAAGCCCATATCTGTTGTCTCCTGCCATGATATTGCTGTAATATTGCTAAAAGCGGTGTAAAACTGAACTCAATCAAACAAGTCGAACAGCTTTTAATCAAGGATCAGCTGCAGGTTAGGGTGTAAACTGTATCATATGTTAAGTACTTCCTATGGTAGGTTAGATATATCTAGGATCAGCTACAGGTTAGGGTGTAAGCTGTTTCATATGTTAAATACTTCTTATGGTTGTTTAGATATATCTAGGATCAGCTGCAGGTTAGGGTGTAAGCTGTATCATATGTTAAGTACTTCCTATGGTAGGTTAGAATTATCTAGGATCAGCTGCAGGTTAGGGTGTAAGCTGTATCATGTATTAAGTACTTCTTATGGTTGTTTAGATATATCTAGGATCAGCTGCAGGTTAGGGTGTAAGCTGTATCATATGTTAAGTACTTCCTATGGTAGGTTAGATATATCTAGGATCAGCTGCAGTTTAGGGTGTAAGCTGTATCATATATTAAGTACTTCTTATGGTTGTTTAGATATATCTAGGATCAGCTGCAGGTTAGGGTGTAAGCTGTATCATATGTTAAGTACTTCCTATGGTAGGTGAGACTTATCTAGGATCAGCTACAGGTCGAGTTGTAAGCAATTCGTAAAGTAGTTGGTTTACATGTGTTAATTGTCCATGAAACTGTATAGCATTTCAATAATAGTTATAAGGTAGATTTATACCATTTCTGTGCTGATGTTTTCTGTGAGAAATGTGTAATGTACACATGAAAATATAGACTGTTGTGTGAGATTTCTCCTCTGTATAAGGGCCCATATGACTGCTCTTACGATGAGCAAAGACAGTGCCAATGATTGCCTTGCTACAAATGTGTATCTTGTTTGTGTTCTTCCAATGGCATTTTGTCTTTATATGATGCATAAGTTATGCAGAAGTTGTTCTGTGCAACCTCTTTTATGGTATCTGACCATGCATGATAGACTAACAAGTATTTTAGCTAAACCAATCAATGACTTGCTGGCCTAGCTAAGCAGCATCATGTCCATTCTTTAATCTGTTGACTAATAACATCATATACAATTTTTCAGAGACAAGCCCAAATGTACATAAAATATCAAACAATGGAAGCATAATCATAACTAATCCTTTGTGAGTTTGAATGTGGAATCGAGTCTGCTACATGATTCATACAGTTTCTGCACAAAAAATGTGTGACATCTCACATAGACGCGATGCATTATTGTATATTTCATTATGTGTTTCCAGTGTCCCCTGATGTCGACAAGATGTACTGATATATTTACAAGTATATTTATTGCCAGTGACATCTCAGGAATGAATGTTGTACTAATGTCATTTTGTTTTCTCAGTATCATGTGATGCCAATAAGATGTACTGACATCCATGTTTGGGCAATGTTTCCTTTATCACCTGATTTCAACACCATGTGCTGAGATGTATTATCATGCTGTTTCCAGTATCGGCTGACATCACCATGATGTCCTAAGATATATTTTCATGCTGTTTACAGTATCACCTAACATCACCACAATGTCCTAAGATATATTTTCATGCTGTTTCCAGTATTGCCTGATATGACCTCGATGTACTAACTTGTATTTTGATGTTGTTTTCAAGTATCACTGATGTCAACACGATGTCCTAAGATGTATTTTCATGCTGTTACCTAGTATCACCTGACATCAACACGATGTCCTAAGATGTTTTTCATGCTGTTACCAAGTATCACTGACATCAACACGATGTCCTAAGATGTATTTTCATGCTGCTTCCCGTATCACCAGACGTCAACACGATGTTCTAACATGTCTTTCATTGGTGTGTTTCCAGGGGCTCCTGATGTAAACATCCCTGCCTCTGCTATGAACATGGTCTATCTATCTCTGGACCACCAGTTACAGGTGAGATCAGACACCACTGGCAATCCATCAGTGGAGCGTTGGTTGAATACAACCCCCTCCGGCTTTGACCCAGACAAAATACCAGAGTTATGCCGGGTACTACTTCTACTTGTTGTCTCCATGCTTGTGCATGCACAGCTTGCATGTGGCTGTCCTACCTGGGTCCATTTGGCTGGGTTGCATTTTTAATGCACAAGCAAAATATTCAATTCAATAACAGTTAACTGGCAGAATACTGTGTACTCACACAATCTGCCCATTGTTCAAAACATCCTTCTGAAATGTCATCCTTCTATGTTTGTCATTATTTGGGCTGGAAAAATCATAAGATTTCTCAAAATTCCTATTGTATCTTGACAGCCACTGAATATGTTTGAACATCATGGGTCATGTCATAAAGAAATTCAAAATAGGAAAAATAATTCTTCAGACAAAAAGGATGCAATCGTATGCAATTTGGTTGAGTAACTGGTTTGGGCAGAAACACACATGTATCTTGTTTTTGACAAGTGAAGTACAATTACTCAGTTAAAGTGATTCAACTTTTGTTGGAAGCCAAGTATTTCTGAATTCCTAGGGTTGATGCAGATGTTGATTAGTTTTTGTTATTGAGGAATATTTTCTCCATGCATGTTGATTTTACCTCATTTAACACCCCATGACCTATTTGATTCTTGGCTCTGACACACAGATAGCACTTGACACTGTTCAACGTTTTTTGTGCTGCCTATCACTTGTAGACGTGGGAACATTTTATTCTGATGTTTGGTAGACAGTAGCATGGTACATCTATCATCTACCACATATACATCCAACTTTCTCCCTGTTTGTTTGCCATGTATTGTTTCTCACATTAAACAGAACTTTTGCATCATTTCATCTCATTCCTTCCATGTGCCTGGTGGTCATGATTCATCTCTATTGTCACTAACTGTTTCATCATCACTGTGGTAGTGCTTGCTTGTATTGCATGGACTGTCCAGATTTATCATAATGAGGGACTGGTTCAGAGGTATAGTAGGACTTGTTGGATCTCAGCCTTAGCTGTCATGTTTTGAAATTGATCTGTCCGAGTGATTGTCAGTAGTATAAGGATTATACTAATGCTTGGTCTCTGAATATATATAATTTTGATAGAAACAAGTAATTCCTTTTTAATTGAAAAGGAGTCAGAGTAAGATGTAAGATCATGAACCTGAGAAAATCTAGAGTTGCTTCAGTTAGGGCTTTAGCATTGCAGGGAGGGCTAGGCAGCAGGGAAAATAATGCAGTTCAGGACTGTGAGACAGACTATGTAAGGATATGAATATTTGCCCTGAAATTAATCTATCTTGTTTTTGGTCAACCAAAAGATGTTCAGTAAATTGTTTTGTTGAAATGAAGACAAGATAAGATAAATCCATTTTAATCTTCATGTATGTGTTGTATTGATGTTGTCTCAGACAATAAACGTAAATATTTAGGGTTTAAGTTTTAGGATTTATTTTCCTGAACCTTGATTGGGAGTATTTTCACTGGGATATCTGAATGTAGCTAAACGATGTAACTTGAGATTTGTTGTGGATTGTATTATCATTTCTTCATTGACTAGAAAACATAAAAAGTTACAAAGTATTAAGGTATACCTGTGAACCTTTTCCTGCTTGCAAGGCGGACGTTTGTCCTCTCCAGTCCTTCACTGGTTGTAGACTCAGATGGTTGCAGGGAAGACATGTCAGACTGTCATCATCTGCATGTCGTTCATTGTGTGCTTGTCATTCAAATATTGTACAGTCAGCTCATGTTGTCTCAGACTAGGCCAGCAGTGCCTCTCCTTCACAACCCACTCTGTGGGTTAATGTACATGCTATACCACAAACTATTTCTATAGGTTTCTTTATCATTTTATAGGGGCGGTGGGGTAGCATAATGGTTAAAGCGTCTGCTCGTCATGCTGAAGACCCGGGTTCGATTCCCAACATGCGTACAATGTGTGTGTCCCCCGACGTGATATTGCTGGAATATTGCTAAAAGTGGCGTAAACCATACTCACTCACTTACTATTATTTTATAGTTTTAAAAGGATCTTAATCAGGAGAATGGTATGGACTGAGAAATACATCATGGGCTGACTGTATGGAACTATTCTGTGTTTGTTATTTACATGACCTGGTGACCATTAGAGGATTTTTGTGAACATTAAGGTGTCGTCTGACACCCTGATCTTTGAACAGTTCAAAACAATTAACATTTATCTCAAGTAAACAGACATTAAAAGTGAATCACCTTTTGATCTCTGTGTGTCTGGACAGTTTTCTTCAATGTTCACCAGGGCAGAAATGTATGTTGTGAAATTTGCCATGTTGAATATTATGAGTTGATATATTCATGCTTGAAGTATGCTTCTCAAAGTTTGCTAAGGATCATGTGTCAAATTTGATGCATCTGTTGAATGGTCAAAGACAATATTATGTGGAGACATGATTCAAGTCTGTTGTCATGTGACCCAACATGAGTCAGATCACCCATCGGGCAGTGGGGTAGTCCAGAGGTTAAAGCGTTTGTCACACTTGAGACCCAGGTTTGATTGCCCACATGGGTATGATGTGTACAGCCCATTTCTGGTGTCCCCTGCTGTGATATTGCTGGAATATTGCTGAAAGCGGTGTAAAACCATACTCTCTCACCCACATCACCCATCAACATGCATGCCCTTTGTGATAGGAGACCAGCCTCACATGGATATTTACTCTCTGTCGGAGGAGCAATGTAATCAGCAATGATGTTATGCAGGTCATTTCTGAGTGTGATGATGTCTTTCTGCAGTCAGGTCTTTCCACAGTGTGGTGGAAAGTTTTTTATCCATCTGTATGTTGCCCGGGTATGTGATCCAAATGTCTTGTATCGATTCCATGATACTAAAGACGTTTGGAATGTGTGGTTGTGTACACCCAGCTTCATGCATGCCAATGCATCTACCCAATTCTTTGGTTGTCAGACTTCGTCTTTGATGCATAAATGTGTTTCATTGATGAAAACATCAGTAGCAAATGATGTTGTGCTCTCTGATTATGATGTGCAATGATTGGTCACAATACATCCAAACACACCTCGTGATCATCATAACCTTGACTTCATTCCTCTGTCTGTTCAGGGGCGGTGAGGTAGCCTTGCGGTTACAGTCTTTGCTTGTCACGCTGAAGACCCGGGTTCGATTCCCCACATGGGTACAATGAGTAAAGCCCATTTCTGGTGTCCCCTGCCATGATATTGCTGTAATATTGCTAAAAGCGGCGTAAAACTATACTCACTCACTCACTCTGTCTATTCATGAAGTTGAGGTAATGTAGGAGTCACCTCATCATTGTGGACCGAGACATTTCAGTCTTTATTTGATATCATCAAAACTTGATCCTTAGCATACTTTGAGTAGAATATTACTGATAAAGGGTATGGTGTGATATCAAGGATGGTTACAGTATCGTGGTCATGGATCCAGAAAAGGGCATGGGATTTTAATGTGTTTAAAGTCTGTAGTTGTTGATTACATAGAGAACATATACTGTAGATTATATGTACATATACAGTAGATCTAGTAAAGTAAGCTAAAGCCATTAACAAATTCTGCCAGTTGTCTTCACACAAGCTATCTTCTTCATATTGTAGGGTAGACAGATAATTGTAGGTCATCATTGCAGGTTGCCTTAATATTCTCTTGCCTTTCAGATGAGCTTGCTTACCTAGACATTATTTCATTATATGTAGATGTACATCGCCTCTTGTGTATCATGGATTTATTTCATTATTTGCTAACTACAGGAGCAGTACGTCAATAATGCAAATGGATCCTATTTGTCATAGAGGTAGTGACATAGGGACTTTGAGTCTAGATGAACAAACTCAGGATTAGTATAAACAAACCTAAGTACAAGTGTAAGTACTGTTTGATCTACCTGGCAGAAATGACACATTCTTATTGAGTACTGTTATTTTTCTATGCAGATTCAGCATGGCTGATGTACATTTGTTTAAACAAAAACCAAGTTATTGCCTGGTTTCTGTAGACTGGAAATAGAACAGATAAAAAGTAGACCATACCATAGAATCCACAGATATTAAACCCAGTTGCGAATTACCTATATGAATACGATTGACGCTACTGATAGATACAATGGCAGAGGTTTGCACCAAACAGTTCGGATTCTGATGATGATAACCATTCTGCAGATGAATCAGATCTTGGAAAAAAACTAGAATTGTCCATAAATTTTCTAGAAACCACTTAGATGAGTATTTAGTTTAAATCTGGTTATACTTTACTGTACTTAGTGAGAGTAGTTTGCATTAGACTACAACAACAGCTTTGAAGTTTGTTGTGGTTTGTTTGACTTTGTGTCTATTGATTACCGAAGTGTAAGGAATAGGCTCAGTCTTCTGTCTTAGTACAAATAATGCTAATGGCTTTCTTGCCTTGATGACTCATTGGTCCATATGTCACTGTCCACTGTGTGTACAAGTACAAGTCCATGTTAGAATTTGGTTCCCACATGTTACTGTCGCTTAAACTCATTTACATGCAAGTTGTGTTCCTCCTTCCAAAGTGAGTGTCAGTTCAGCTTTTGGCTTAAATTTGTTTAAGTCTTTGTGTGTGTGCTTTGGTATGTACACTGTTTTAAGTTCTCTGGCAAGACCTGCTATGGCTTTGTAACTTACAAACACATTTAGGCTGAGTTGTTTACAGACACTAAGGCTGAGTTGTTTACAGACACTAAGGCTGTGTTAATCCCGACACCAAGGCAGTGTTCTTTCCAGATATTTGTGGCACCTAATCAATGATGGTATCCCAACTGATTCCAAGCAATTTTGTTTTCTTTAAGAAACATGATAATTTTTCTCAAAATGGATGGTGCACATTTTCATCTATTTGTAAGGATATAAGGAAAAAAATAAATTTCTTGAACGACATTGCTTAAAACTCCAACAAAATACCCTGTCAATAGACAGACTTTACTGATCAACAGCTGAACATATGGAAATCAATTCCTCTTTAGATTTCTCCAGGAGCATTGTTGTCATGAATTTAGATGTAATATTTCAAACATAAGAAGTAATGTGCCGATAACTGTGTACACTGCATCCATGTGAAAGTTTATTGATTTGCCCACTGAAAACAACAGACTGACATGTGCTGGGCCCACGGTCACAGACTGAACAAACAGCAGCTCTATCTAGACCTGCACTATAACAAATATGTTACATGACCAGCATTGTGTTCATATTTCTGTCCTTATTCAAAAGACATCTTTTCTTTCTCTTTGCTGATTCTGTCTAGGATTTGAAGATTAGATTCTATTTTTATTTTACACTACATGAAGATGTGAGCTTCACCTCTGTATTAGACAAATTAAATGTTTCTTGTTGAGTTAGGTTTTACGTCACATCGGCATTATTCCAGCCATATAGTGATGAGAGTAAAGCAAGCAATGGACTCAGTCTCATTACTATCGGATAATTATCTCCTGATGTGATACCTCTACGTGAGGAAACCATTAAAGAAGGCTGCATCAGGTAACCCTGAGCAAACTTCGACCACCCATTCTAAATGTCAGCTTACTGAAACAGTTTGGCTTAAATACTTTACCACATCGATTTGGACATTTCACAAAAGCACACCCACAAAGAACACAAATATCCCCATGATGCTTTGGCTGAAAATGGTGCTTACAGAGTGACACAACAGGGTGGAAATGTTATAGAAGCAATATTTTACAATATAGTATTAGTAGAGCAGCATATATTTGTTAACCTTTGGGACAAGCTGATATACTGTCTAAATACTTTACTGATTCGTACTAAGAGTTTCGAAGTCTCCATGCTGACTGGAAATGTGTTTATGCAGAGAGGTATCTTATTGAGTGAAAGATTTGAACGAGAATGAGGTACTTTAAACATGGAGGCTAAAAGCTCTGTATCAATGGACAATTGAAGCATGATCTTCAAAGTTTGCATAGCATTACAACTATTAACTTTGGGGAACATACTTTGTATCGTGTGTGTGAATACCAGGTGTTTCACAAAGGTAATTTTATCACAGAGGAATTCAAGCTTCTTATTACATATGTAACTAGCCATTGGAGGATACAGACATTGTATTACATTTGTAACTGGGCATGGGTGAGAACAAGCTTCATATTACATAGGTAACTAGGCATATGGGAATACAAGTTTTATATTAGATACGTGACTAGCCTTAAGGTAGAACAAGCTTCATATTACATAGGTAACTAGGCATATGGGAATACAAGTTTTATATTAGATACGTGACTAGCCTTAAGGTAGAACAAGCTTCATATTACATAGGTAACTAGGCATATGGGAATACAAGTTTTATATTAGATACGTGACTAGCCTTAAGGTAGAACAAGGTTCATATTACATAGGTAACTAGGCATATGGGAATACGAGTTTTATATTAGATACGTGGCTAGCCTTAAGGTAGTACAAGCTTCATATTACATAGGTAACTAGGCATATGGGAATACAAGTTTTATATTAGATACGTGGCTAGCCTTAAGGTAGTACAAGCTTCAAATTTCATAGGTACCTTGGCATGGAGGAATACAATGTTCAAATTACGTAGGTAACTGGCCATAAGAGATACAAGGTTCACATTACATAGGCATCTAGGATGGGAAAAGATGTGCTTCATATGACATGCAGGTAGGTTATTGAAGCATTGCAGGAAATAAGGTTAGTATCATTGGTAGTTTAAACATACTGGCAAATTGGGATTTGTGTCACATAGGGACAAGGGACTTTGTGAATGTTCCTTACTGTATGTCACTATAAACATGAGTGTGTTGTGTTTTCAGCCCCTGGCTCCTTGTGTTGCTAACCCTGATTCTATGGCCATGTATGAAGACCACTGCAAGGTAGGACCCTGATTCTGTGTTTGCTCTCTTCATACCGTCCTCCATGTACCCTCATGCTTCCTGGTTATTTGTCGGGATTCATTTGTTGAATGTCCAGCCAGAGAACCCCTGCTGTCAGCAACATGCTCCTAACTTAGTGCATGTTTGTATACTGCGAAGTTATAAGTACCACCCGATTTTTTCAAATAAAGATGATCCGTGAAGTTCTGTTTTGGAATTGGACTTAAAACCATGTTATAAATCGTGATATACCTCTGAATGACTTTAATTAACCAATCACAATCCAGTATTTACTGAAATTATGGTAGAATTGATCTTCAGTGACCCATGCTTGTCGTAAGAGATGACTGATGGGATCGGGTGGTCAGGCTCGCTGATTTGGTTGACACATGATATCGTATCAATGCTCATGGTGTTTATCACTGGATTGTCTGGTCTAGACTCAATATATGCCGCCAGCTGGAATATTGCTGACTGCGGTGTTCAACAACAACCAAACCAACTAAACCAAATAAAGACAGTTATCTGTCATGGTGTGACTGAATCGGATGGACATAGAATCGGTTGGACCTTGATTTGTGTTGAGTAGTATATTGTGAATCCTCGAACCAGCTGTCATTGCAGAGATGAGGAGAGCTTGAATTCCCTGACCATCCATCAGGAGCATCTGTACAAGGCATAGAATTTTGTAGACAAAACATCTTCCATGAGAACCAATGTCAAAGAATGTATGAATACAACCAGAATATATTAGGGAATGTGTTAAACCTAACAGGGACAGCAAATAGTCAAGAATTAAAATGAGTCCTTTAAATACCAGTATGGGAAACTGGCAATGAATTGATCAGAATAATATGACAATGACAATGACAATACTTTATTACCCGTGAGGGAATTCTTGTGTAAAATACAGAGCTCAAACATTGATAAAATGATTAAATTATTTTCATACAATTAATAACACACATATAACACGCTAACAAGGTGAGACATACATTTGCCTAAGATGTTCCTTTTTTGGCTTTTTATTAAATTTTCAAGTAGTTAGGAAGCATGTATGGAGAAGTGTAGTGAATGCATTTATACATCATCTTAAATGCTGTGGAGGATTGCCTCCCTTGGCTGCACCAGGAACCTGTGATTGTGGGTTTGAATCCCGGTTCTCCATGATTATGTTTTGAGACTTGTCAGCACAATACCTGAGCTTGTGTGTTTCACCAAAATAGTAAATGTCTGACACCTACATCATCTTAGGCTTTCCTCCGAAACAGTGTGCTGTGACGGAAATGTTGTTTGAAGCAGTGTTAAAGCATTTTCACTCAGCAGCGATATTGTTTGCTTGTGATTAATAGATCAGCAATCATTATTTTGTTTTGAATGACAAGCATACTAACATTTTTTATTTTTACGTATGTTGTTACTTTTTCTTTTTAAATGCCTTAGCAAACATAATCCATTGGTCTTGAACCATACATGGCATGGAGACAATTTTAAATGTTTTTTATTCTGTTCAACAAAGACATCAGTAAAAGCCCCACACATTAAATCCGGTCACAAGTACACAAGTTAGAATACTGTTTTCCCATGAGATATTGTGTACATACACACCAACAGTTACTTGTATGAAGTGAATTGATCGGCATGCCGAAGACCGAGGTTCAATTCTCCACATGGAGACAATGTTTGAAGCACCTTTCTGGTGTCTCCCACTGTGATATTGTTGGAAGATTGCTAAAAGCGGCGTAAAACTAAACTCGCACACTGATTTGTGGACTGATGGGTTCATGGTGTGGACCGTGCATATTTTACAGTAGCTTGAGTCACAATCATACCCATTGATAATGTGTCTCATGATAAGACAGAGTTGTCTCCCTTCCACTGCTTCTGTCACTGTCCTGTGCTGGTGTTAGTGTATAAATGAACACACTATCCCGCCAGCATGGAAACATACCTAAATGGATGTGGTGTCAAGCACTGTTTAAATACTCATCAACAATGCTGTTGTTAGTGTAATGTGAAGAAAACAGCTGTGAATATCAATTCCTCATCTAAGGCAGCGGTTCACAAGTGCCCCAGTCAAACAGGACTGGTTGGCGCACAGAAGCCCACAAGCCTTCAATCATGGATGTCACATTGGGAGTGATTTGACACACATTCTGGATCGGAATTAATGAATAAGCATAAAGCAATAGTGATAATAACATGTAACAATATTTTGTTTTGTGTGATCTTTTTTAGGATAATAGCATAACATTGAATTACATGAAGAGTGAGATCTTCCAGCATGAAGGAGAGGTGTATGTTATTTGTGCTACTATCCCATGGCAATTAGCTGTGATTTTAATGTTCTCTGTGTTGTATGAGATGGTGTGAAATAAATTATATGTATATCTTATCATTATGCCCATTGCAGATATACTTGTTTTAGTTATTAGGTGATCTTTTCTTGTTTTCAGGATATTGCGGTTTGGTCTTTATCTTGTATGTTTGTTAGTAATGTATTTGTTTTCATATCAATGTGAATATCATCTCAGTATCAAGGTGTTCACTCTGCTTGAATGTCATCTCAGTATCAAGGTGTTCACTCTGCTTGAATGTCATCTCAGTATCAAGGTGTTCACTCTTCTTGAATGTCATCTCAGTATCAAGGTGTTCACTCTTGCTTGAATGTCATCTCAGTATCAAGGTGTTCTTCTTGACTCTTCTTGAATGTCATCTCAGTATCAAGGTGTTCACTCTTCTTGAATGTCATCTCAGTATCAAGGTGTTCACTCTGCTTGAATGTCATCTCAGTATCAAGGTGTTCACTCTTCTTGAATGTCATCTCAGTATCAAGGTGTTCACTCTTCTTGAATGTCATCTCAGTATCAAGGTGTTCACTCTGCTTGAATGTCATCTCAGTATCAAGGTGTTCACTCTGAAATGTCATCTCAGAATGTCATCTCAGTCATCAATCAAGGTGTTCACTCAGTATCAAGGTGTTCACTCTGCTTGAATGTCATCTCAGTGTCAAGGTGTTCACTCTTCTTGAATGTCATCTCAGTATCAAGGTGTTCACTCTTCTCGAATGTCATCTCAGTATCAAGGTGTTCACTCTTCTTGAATGTCATCTCAGTATCAAGGTGTTCACTCTTCTTGAATGTCATCTCAGTATCAAGGTGTTCACTCTGTTTGAATATCATCTCAGTATCAAGGTGTTCACTCTTCTCGAATGTCATCTCAGTATCAAGGTGTTCACTCTTCTTGAATGTCATCTCAGTATCAAGGTGTTCACTCTTCTTGAATGTCATCTCAGTATCAAGGTGTTCACTCTGCTTGAATGTCATCTCAGTATCAAGGTGTTCACTCTGCTTGAATGTCATCTCAGTATCAAGGTGTTCACTCTGCTTGAATATCATCTCAGTATCAAGGTGTTCACTCTTCTCAGTAATGTCATCTCAATGTATCAAGGTGTTCACTCTTCTCGAATGTCATCTCAGTATCAAGGTGTTCACTCTTCTTGAATGTCATCTCAGTCATCTTCTGAATCAGTATCAAGGTGTTCACTCTGATCTTGAATGTCATCTCAGTATCAAGGTGTTCACTCTGCTTGAATGTCATCTCAGTATCAAGGTGTTCACTCTGCTTGAATGTCATCTCAGTATCAAGGTGTTCACTCTGCTTGAATGTCATCTCAGTATCAAGGTGTTCACTCTGCTTGAATATCATCTCAGTATCAAGGTGTTCAGTATGATTCAATATCTCAGTATCAAGGTGTACTCTCAGTATCTCAGTATCAAGGTGTTCAGTATGATTCAATATCATCTCAGTATCAAAGTGTTCAGTATGATTCAATATCTCAGTATCAAGGTGTTCAGTATCTCAGTATCAAGGTGTTCAGTATGATTCAATATCATCTCAGTATCAAAGTGTTCATTATGATTCAATATCATCTCAGTAACAAGGTGTTCAGTATGATTCAATATCATCTCAGTATCAAGGTGTTCAGTATGATTCAATATCATCTCAGTATCAAGGTGTTAAGTATGATTCAATATCATCTCAGTATCAAGGTGTTAAGTATGATTCAATATCATCTCAGTATCAAGGTGTTCAGTATGATTCAATATCATCTCAGTATCAATGTGTTCCGTATGATTCAGTATCATCTCAGTATCAATGTGTTCCGTATGATTAAATATCATCTCAGTATCAAGGTGTTCAGTATGATTCAATATCATCTAAGAATCAAGGTGTTAAGTATGATTCAATATCATCTCAGTATCAAGGTGTTCACTCTGTATGATTCGGTATCATCTCAGTATCAAGGTGTTCAGTATGATTCAATATCATCTCAGTAACAAGGTGTTCAGTATGATTGAATATCATCTCAGTATCAAGGTGTTCAGTATGATTCAATATCATCTCATCAAGGTGTTCAGTATGATTCAATATCATCTCAGTATCAAGGTGTTCAAAGTATGATTCAATATCATCTCAGTATACAAGGTGTTCAGTATGATTCAATATCATCATCAGTATCAATGTGTTCCGTATGATTCAGTATCATCTCAGTATCAAGGTGTTCAGTATGATTCAATATCATCTCAGTATCAAGGTGTTAAGTATGATTCAATATCATCTCAGTAACAAGGTGTTAAGTATGATTCAATATCATCTCAGTATCAAGGTGTTCAGTATGATTCAGTATCATCTCAGTATCAAGGTGTTCAGTATGATTCAATATCATCTCAGTATCAAGGTGTTCAGTATGATTCAGTATCATCTCAAGTATCAAGGTGTTCAGTATGATTCAATATCATCTCATCAAGGTGTTCAGTATGATTCAGTAGTATCTCAGTATCAGGCCTTTCAGTATGATTCAATATCTCACAGTTACAAGGTGTTCAGTATGATTCAATATCATCATTATGGTGTTCAGTATCATCTCAATAACAAGGTGTTCAGTATGATTCAGTATAATCTCAGTATCAAGGTGTTCAGTATGATTCAATATCATC